ACACACACACTGACATTTTGCCCTTCTACTCTTTGGTAGCCCATCTGGTCAAACACAACAGCAATTGCTGGGAAAAAACCACCAATTCTCCACGATTATAACAAAATCTAATTGGTGGGACTCACTGTTGTTGTCAACTATGAGTACTTGTGCAGTTTCCGGTTCCAGAATAACATCACTGTCGGTTGTGTTCAGTATGAGGGAGAATTCTTCTTGGATTTCCTCTCTGACCCCATCGTTAATGATGGTTATTAGCTCACATTGTTCAGAGCCAGACGAAGACCCTGACTGGAAGACAACCTCTGTTCCATTGAGCGGGACAAAATCTTCCTCTGGAAAAATAACGACAAACAATAAGATTATTGGATTCCACAATGATTTCAACAAACCATTGGCTGTTCCAGTAGCAGTGCTGAGATAAACAGATACTGGTCGGTCCAACGTTAATTCCGAGTTCTCGTTAATTACTATGCATACTCGGAGTTCAAAAGACTCCATTCCAACCTCGACTGGAGACCTGAAGCCCAATGTAACGGCTACAAGAGAATGGCATCTTAAAATACAGAGTTGCTGTCCCCGCCTGTACTTACTATTGGCATCTCTTATTTCAATTGTTAGTGTGGAGGCAACAGGGTCCAAATTGACCCACAGGTCTGATGATTCCAGTGAGAGAAAGAACGTCTCTTCATCCTCCAGAACTTGATCTTGGAGAATCATAATCCCACTGGTACAGGCTATGGGCTCAGTTGATGCTTCGAATACCAACTCTCCACTAGTAATGGAGTAGTCGCCACTCTCAGCTGCAATAGAGATCATTCATTTACTGTCAAAGTGCACGATTGAGTAGCAAAACCTGTGGCAGTTTCATCCTGTGCAGTGATTGTTGCCACCACCGTTCTCTCAATGGCTCCACTCAGAGATGCACACACAGTAGCTGCCATTTCAGACTCTTCATATGAGCTTTGCTGCTCATCAGAAAACCTCAGAAACAACCTCTGCACAGTGGCAGACAAGCATCAGAGTAATATGCATAGCTATAAACTACTGTGACCTACCATCATTGTCTATGATGGTAATCAGGGCCTCACTGACGCCAATATTCACACTCGGTAGCTCAGTGGTAACGGAGACATGGAAAGTTTCATTCGACTCTAAAACACTGTCTGTAATGATTGTAATGTTGGTGCATGTTTGAGGTTCCTGTCCAGGGAATATGGTAAGTTCCTCGTCCACCGGTACGTAATCCACATTTGCTGTTAAAAACACACATTAATAGTGTGTATACATACGTATATTACAAGTGTACCAGTTGCTGTACTGTTGACTGAAGTTACTGCGACACTAACAGGTGTCTCAATTTCCCCAGTAAGAATCACGCAGATTTGAAGGGTGGCGTTTAACTCAACATTACTGTCATCCTCATCAATTTCATAGCTCTGTTGCTCCAACTCCACCAGCACCTCTGTATGAGAAAATAGTCACGCTAGAACATTACCTCCAATGGTGACCAAAATATCTGTATATACCATCGTTATCCTTGATTGTAACCACTGTTGTTGACATCCTAAACTCAACTGGGTCATCGGGGGAGCTAACAATCACAGAAAATGTTTCGTTCCCTTCACGGATATTGTCGTCAGTTATGTTGATAGTGTGGCACATTGTTGTAGTGGGTGGCGTGACAGTGATACCGACTTCATCAGAATCAAAATCAATTCCTCCACCTACAAAATTACAGTCACATGATTAAAATTTGACAACTCGAGAGCTATTTATCCATACAGACCTGTAGCATCGCCCATCTTCAAATGGAGTGATGACAAAGTCCAGAGGACGCTCAGTTCCACTGTCAAAGACCACACAGATAGTGACAGCTCCACTTGCTTCAGTTGCCAGCGTCTCATTAATTTCAACCACCACATCTGAGTAAAAGATTGACTAGAATTGTAATCATGTGGAACACAGTTTGACTCACTGTCGTCATTTACGATGAAAACCTCTGCCGTTGCAAAATCTAAGGCAATGGTTTCATCATTGGTAGTGAGCACAATGTGGAAAGTTTCGTTGTATTCCACAATGTCGTCGTCACTAATGGTTACATCCACACACAGTCTTTCAGACCCACCAGATACCGCTAGCATCTCCATCACAGCAGTGAAATCAGCATCATCTGAGAAAATCAAATCATGAGCGTGATGGTTTTGGCAGGGCTCTTGACTTACCCGCAGAGTCTTCCATAGTCGCAAGTTCAATTTCCACTGCTTTAGCCAGCTCGGGAGATGACACTACACACACTTGAACAGTGCCACCTCCTTCCACCACTGTATATGAGCTCATCTCAAGTCCCACAACAGCAGCTGTCACAGTTTAAACTCCATATTACAAGCAGCATGCAAACATGTACGCTAACTCACTATCATTGTCAAGTATGGTGACTTGAATGGGGGGACCTAGTACAACATTCTCATCGGTAGTGCTCAACTCCACAAGAAAGTGTTCAGCATTTTCGACTAGTTCATCGTCCATCAGTGGTATGGAGCGACACAGAGTTTGCTGTGCATTCTCCGGAGTGAATAGGATGTTTGGTTCAACAACTTGTCCAAAATCCAATCCAACTGTATACCAAAGTGATCACAAAGTATGGTGCACGAACAGTAAAGATTTGCATGCAGTAGCTACTCACATTGTGCTCTCGTGCTCTCAGGTAGATCTGATATTTCCCCAGCAGAGAGCATAAGACTAACGTTGAGTTCGATGTTTCCTGTTAGCACTACACACACTTCCAACATGCCCTCTTCGTTCACCGAGAGTTCAGTTTGTTCGAAATGAACACTCACATCTGCAGGTATATATAATCAGTCAGTCAAGAGGTTTTCAGGGCAGATAGGGTTCAACTTACTGTCATCATTCTCAATACCAACACTGAGGACTGTGTTCTGAAGTACAATGGCGGAATCATTTGTCGGGAGAATCGACAGGTGGAAAACCTCTGTATTCTCTAAAATGTCATCATCCACAATATTTACAGCGAAACACTCCCGAATTCCGGTCTCTGGTGTGAAACACCACGCTGAAGGCGTCTAGTGGGTTAAAATCTTCTACTGTGGCAGACTCTTCTTCAGTTACAATAGTGACAGTTAGTTCCCGTTGAAGATTAAAGTGGGACAAGACAACACACTCTTCAATTTGCGATGAAGATTCATTAACAAACCGAATCATAGCACCTCCCGCAAACCCGATAATGACATCTGCACCGAAAAACACTAATAATGAAAGGGCCCCTGTGATTACAAAGCTTACTGTCATTGTCGATAATGGTGATATTAGCCAATGCAGGAAACAAGTTCACTCTTTCTTCGGTAGTGCTCAGCATCACAGAAAACATCTCACTGTTCTCAACCGCACCATCAACCTCAATAGTTATGTCAATGCAGTGCATTGCCTCATCTGCTGTGAAAACAACTGAGGGAGTGTTTGGTGCAGTATTGTAGTCCGTGTCTCCTGTGTTGTTAAAGATCCAACATATTATTTTAGCTGGAACACAAAAGACACTCAACTCACTTTCGGCTGACCCATCAACTAAAGAAATGTTTATATTCACATTCCTTTCCAGCTCAGCTCTTGACTCAATGCATACAGTCAAAGATAAATCCCTTTCCTCGACAGTGTAGGATTCTTTTACAATACCAATGACTGCATCTGTTTGAAAAAAGGGTGAAAAGCTCAAAGTTGTACTAGTAGTTATGAAAACTCAGGTAATCACCATCATCATCTATGATTGAAACTTGAATGAAATCTTGGAGCACAACTCGCTCGTTTTGGGTTGACATCTGAATGAGGAAACTCTCAGCCATCTCGGAAATATCGTCATTCACTAGTGTAATGTTTCGGCAGATTGGCCCCAAATTCTGGGGGTTTGTTGTAAAGACTACTTCCGGGTCAGGTATTTGATTGAAATCTGATCCTGCTATTGAGTAGAAAAAATGGTAAGCAAATAAAGACAGTAGTGATACGAAATCATTTGAAGTAGAAGATGTACGTACCGGTTGCTATTGCATCCAGTGGCAACTGGTCAACTTGCTGAGCTGACAGTGTGACTGCGACATCTATCTCTGTGGCTCCAGTGAGTATGACACACACTTCAAGCACCTCATCCTCTTCCAGTCCGTCACCAACAGTTGCAAATCCCACTTCCACATCTAATGCAATGAGAAATCAGAGCAAATACACAAAACCTCACCACTTTCTGCCATAGTGGGCTACTAACTCACCATCATCATCAATAATGGTTACTAGTACAACTGAGCTAACAAATTCTATGAGTGTATCAGTTGAAGTTTGAAGAACAACTCTGAAATTTTCAGCATCCTCTAAAATCTCATCATCGACAATAGATAGAGAGAAACACTCAGTTCCATTAACAGTCTCCATATCAAATACAATTTCTTCAGAAATTGGACTAAAGTCAATGTTATCTGCAACAGGAATCACAGTAACTATCTGCTGCGAAATAAATCCTGAATGTTTGAATCTTACTTGCAGCAGTGCCAGGTTCAGATGCGGCCAGTAGAACAACAGTGCTTTCAAAGCTTGTTACTGAGAAGCTGACGCAAATTTCAACTTGTTCTTCACTCTCAGAGACGGACACTTCAGTTTCAAATTCCGCAATGAGTTCTGAAAAAACAGTGGATTGTGCAAAAATAAGGAAAAATTTTGCAACTTGAACTTACCAGTGTTATCCTGGATCAGGACACTTATGATGCTGGGAGCTGTGACTACAACAGTATCGGCAGGATTTCCATTGACGTCTGTGACAGAAACCCAAAACACTTCATCTCCTTCAACTGAGCTATCTCTTCTGGTTTCGACACTGAAGCATCTTGTTACATTGGCATCTACCAAACTTCCAGCCGAGAATACAATGTTTTGGAGTTGAGGCGACACAAAGTCCTCCTCATTTACTGCGTGTAGAATAACACGAGGTACAAGTTATTGCTTCTCTCTTAAAATTTCTTTCGTATGCCTACCTGCTGAACCATCTGTTATATTGAGTCCAACCTCAACATTGAATCCTAGTGTCAGGGAGTTTTGGCTTTCAAGAGTGACACAAATCTCTCCGGATTCACCCTCAAGTATGGGAGAACTCTCAAGAAGCTTCACACTTGCATCTAGAAAAGTAACCAGATGAAATATAGTGTTTGGGGACAAAACATTTTGCGTCTCACGTTCGTCGTCCTGTATTTCAACCACGACTGGTTCAGAATTGACTGCAAGGACACTGTTGTCCAATGATGCTGAGACTATGCCAACACTGAAGTTATGAGAGCCCTCCAGACTGGTGTCGTCTATGATGGTTATGTTAGCACAGGCTTCGGCCGGTTCTCCAGTTGGGATCATTATAGTGAATGAGCTTGGGACGTAGTCTTGTCCAATAACTATGGGACAGAGAGTAATATCACCAGAACACTACGTTGGTTCAAAGGTATCTCACCAGCTGAGCCGTCAAAAGTCCCATTGTTACAATCACATCAGTTTCCAGTTCTCCATCACTCTCTAGGGTCACACATATTTGTAGCATACTATCCTCTACATTTTCTGGGACTGTTAGTAGTACCTCATTTACCAACAACAGCTGTCCATCTGTAAAAATTAATTATGCAGTATATGTTCACTGACATCTTGAGAGATGAATTAGTGGCTTAGGTTTACCTAAATTATCTATTATGGTGATGATTGTTATTGCAGAGCTTGAAGGACTCGTCCAGGAGCTACATTTCAATGATTAGCTCAAATGATGATCTCCCTCGACATCATTATCATCGATAATGGCAACGTCAACACAAGCCCTTGGAGAGGGAGACGGAGCGAATGTCAACAGCTGCGGCTCAAAAACAAAGTCACTCTGATTGCCTAGAAAGAAGTGAGAGCATCCGTCATTTCAGCCAATAGTGGGATGTTTCTTGTACCAACCGGCATTAGGTGCGTCCTGCTTGTGAGAGAGGCTACCACATTGCCTTCATATCCACCTTCAGGAAGCTCCGTAATGATGGCACACACAGTAACAAATCCAGCATCCTCGGCTACACTCTGGGACAATTGCTCAAACCCAACGAAAAGATCTGTGAAGTAAATCCTCTCATTATTTTAATACAGCATGCCGTATTCCACCCCTTCCTCATCTACTTACCATCGTCATCCACTATAGTAACCAACGAGGTGCTTCTGCTCAGTGTAACTCTTTCCTGGGCCGTGCTCAGCAGTACGGTAAATATCTGCTCTGACTCAACCACGCTGTCAACTATTGTGCTTGCCACCGACGCAGATCCTCTCACTTCCAGTTGAAAATTCTACTTCAACGGTGATTGCATCGGTATGAAATCAACCCCACCTGGAAACAAAGCAAACGAATAAAACTTAGGTGTTTCTCTACAAAAAAGAACTTACTTTGTGCTGATCCGGCAACCAATGTGATGTTTGCTGGTAGGACAGCACGACATTATCAGAAGAGATGATGCAGATTTGTACATCACTTCCTTCATTGACAGTGTACATACTGAGCTCAAATCCTATCTCAGCAACTGAATTAAAAATACACAAAATTAGTTTCTTTGTTGTGAAATAGCTAAACAGACCATTGTTATCCATGATGGTGACTTGAGCTGGAGTGTCAACCACCACCCTGTCTCTGAGAGTACTCATGGACACCAGAAATATCTCGTCGTTTTCAAAGATGGTGTCATTGATGATTGTGACTGTTCGGCAGATTGGTTCCTGAGGAAAAACACTCGGAGGAAAAGTTATCTCTGGATCTCTTAGTACATCGGTGTCAGATCCAACTGCACGAGAAGAACAATGATTAAAAAATGAGAGTTTGCCTGGCACTGCCTCTTACAAGTTGCCATCATGTCAGGAGAAAGTTGGTCATCTGGCTGGAGAGCTAGCATAACACTGACTGGCACTTCTGTAGCCCCATCAAGTGACACACACACCTCCAGCAAAAGATCACTTTCATTGACAACATACTCAGTCTCAGTGAATGACACCACGACACCTGGATTGATGATAGATTCAGTTCACTGTGCATATCCAAGGTGCAATGTTTAACATACGATCATTGTCTTGAATCATCACTATAAGTTCAGGCTGGGGAATCTCTACTGCAGAGTCTAGAGTACTCATCACGATCAGAAATGTTTCCAAGTCTTCAAACGTGTCATCGTCCGTAACTTGCACTTGAAAACACTCCCTCCCTTGTGTCCCACTATCAAATTCAATTTGTGTTGGTAGTGGGTTGAAATCAGGGGAATCAAGTTCACCTGCGCAAGGAACATGCACCATTGTTATTCTCTATTCTCAAAACCAAAGAGTAAATATAGCTCTTACTGGTAGCAGTGCCAGATTGTGGCACCAAATCAATAGCAAAAGATCGCTGTAGGTTTGTGTGTAAGAGCACAACACATGCTTCAACAAATGAATCATTTTCTGCGACAGTCAGGGCCACACTTTCAAACAGAACCGTCACACCTGTAAGACAACAGACACTACAAAAATGGCACACCATAGTCAATAAAACCTCACTTGAATTGTCAATAATGACAGCTGTTTGTGTGGCTGGATCCACATTCAGTATGCTACCGGGGGCGTCAGTTGATATCACAGACACAGTGAATACTTCCGTGCCCTCCACTATCCCATCAACCACAGTGGAAATGTTTACACAAACTTCGGTATCAAGGTCATTGGCCGATATGGGAACCGATATGTTAGTAGCACTAAGAAAGTCTTCACCAATGTCTGTAGGAAGAAGACGTCACATAATGGGCTAAAACTTCACATTGCCACACGAGGGTGTCAAGTTTGAATCCTAGCGCAGTGATCAGATTTTTGTGGATTAAGGTAAATATTAGAGTAGAGGACTCTCTTTGTCAGCTGGTTTATCGTGTACATTCAATAAAAGTTTTGCCTGTAGCATTATGTGGAGTATATACACATAACTAACCGGCAGTTCCACTGTTTATTGCCAAGTCCACCTGAACAGCAAATGCGGGATCCACACCATCACAAGTGACACATGACAATAGGAGACACAGTGGTACCGGGTCTCCCTCAGATACAACAGGGATTGATAGCAGACCAATGTTTCCAACTACAAGGGAAAGGGTTTTCAATGGTGAAGTGAGAAATAAACATCACACGTCTTACATTCGTTGTCAGTTATTGAAATTGTTGTGGAAGATGATGGAGTATTAATGAGGGCATGTGACCCTACATCAGTAGCTGTCACAGTAAATTCTTGAGTCCCTTCCAACAGAGTGTCGTTAACAATTGGAACAGTGAAACAGCGTATGCTCTCTGAACTCCCAGCAGGGAACACTAGAGCAAACTCAGCTCCAGGAAGACCAGTGTCATCCACCACAGCTATAAAGAGAGAAGGTTTGTACAGAGGAGCTGATGCTGCAGAATAAAAATGTACTCACAGGCTGTTCCATCAGTGGCACTGAGAGAGACTATCAGATCTGTTTGGAAACCCTCAGTCACTCCCAGAGTCCACACATACACTCACAGCCCCAGCATCCTCAGTCACGTTATATCCATCCATCATAAAACCAACCACAGCATCTGAAAATTTAATTTCAGGCTTATATACTATGATAAATGCCATAAGCACACCTCCATTGTCTTCAATGGTAATGGCACTTTTATCTGTTCCAACTGTAGCAGCAGATGATGGGGATACTGAAACAATACTGACATTTAGCAGTTGGTCCTCTTCGTAGATGTCATCCTCGAGTATGCTTAACCCAAGGCACAAATTATCTCCATTAGTAACATTTCCACTACTGTTGAAAACCACTGAAACAGGTGAAAGAATGTCAAAGTCTTCTTCTTCAACTGAAAGAAAGACAATAGTATCACATACTTGTACCACCAGTCTTTTCTAACATACCGGCTGAAAAACCTTCCACGAGGAAATCAACAGTTATATCAGTTCCCAGTCCTCCAGCAGGGAGTTCCTGAATCTCAGCACACACATTAACAACAGTTCCCTCAGCGTAAGTTGCAGATGTTGGCTGCAAACTGATAGTAGCTAAACCTGGAATCGAGCGAAATGAGGATATGGCAGTTTTTGCTAATGCAAAGGCTCCAGACTCACTTTCGTCATCAATGATGGTAACAGTCGTGACAGATGAGAGGGTATCAATGGAGGCATGAAATCCTGCTCCAGTCAGTGTCACTGTGAACTCATGATTTCCTTCCAGTAATTCATCATCAGTGATGGGAATGCTGCTGCATCGTGTTCCGTTAGAACTTCCAGCAGGAAATACTAGAGTGAACTCAGCAGCAAGTAGTTCTGTATCATCATCAATTGCTACAGTGAGAGAAGAAATAAAGACAGTAGAAGTGTAGGGGGAAAAACTCACAGGCTGTTCCATCAGTGGCACTGAGGGAGACTGTTAGGTCTGCTTCAAAACCCTCAGTCACTCTCGAGTCTACACATACACTGACAGCTCCTTCATTCTCATTGACAGTGTATTCATCCGTCACAAAAGCAACAACAGCACCTGAAGATTATCATAAGGTAAGGTTGCATATCTTTTGTAAAGAGTTAAATAGATATCTTGGTTGTCTCGAATTGTTTTAGTGACACTGCTAACTTGTCTCAAAGTTTTAATTCTTAATGCTTACCATCATCATCGTAAATGTTGATAGTTAAAGTGCTGAGAGACAGTGACACCCATCAGCAAACTCAGATGATGAACTGGTTGTGAGTGTAAGTACCAGAGTCTCTGGTGATTCCTCTAGTTCACTATCGTCTAGAACGCTCACAGTCACACACTGGGTGGTGGAAACTACGTTGTCTGAGGCGACTACGAATGTTAAGGCTGTAGAGAATGAATAGTCCAGGCCCTCTGCAGAAAAACAAAACAATTGCTCGTTACACACACCAAGTAAGTCCCACACATAAGAAGAGTATATACCTTTTGCTGTACTAATTGTATCGACAGTGATTGTGAAAGGGACGTCAGGCTCCGCTGGATCAATAGCTCCACTTGCCATACTCTGAATACAGACGTCGTGTGTGCCAGTACTCTCACTGACTGTGGCAGCACTGGCTACAAATCCTACCATCAAACTGTGCGGAGCTGTACCAGAGAAAGCAAAGTAGTGTGCATGAATCGTAAGTAGGGTGACTATCAAAGTTTATTACAGAGCCACAATGGTCAACTCACAGTCATTATCAACGATAAAAACTAATGCTGGATCAGGTATAGACACAGAGTATGACACAGAATTTAGTACAGAAAACTGCAATAGAAGTACTCTCGACTAGTTCCACCAAGGAATCCTCCAGAATTGAAAGATAAAAACAAGCACTCGAAGTGTCTCGCAGAACATCCAATATAAAAGGTTCGCTGAAATATTGTAATCAACCCCTGCAAAAGATTGTTTTATCTTCATCTCCAGATCACTTGGTAGCTACAACTTACTGATTACTGCTTCACCCGCACCAGTTGCTACTATGTTGACTACATACTAAGTTTCCTGAATCTATATTTGAAGGCTCAATCACAGTACTCTGAACACAGATAGGGATAAGTGCCGTTTCTTCTCGAACGTATATCAGAGATTCAAGAAATGATAATTCCACATCAGCCCCTGCAAATTTGTTGCAAACCTAACTCTTAGCTGCCATGCTAAAGCAATAACAATCACCTCTTCCAGGGATAGCCTGAGCTCCTATCAACAATAAAATGGCCAAAGAGGTAGCCATCTCTCATCAACCAGCAACTCCTCTACTACAGCTTATGGCATTCAGGCTAACTCTTTGCATTTATGTAGTAATGAAAAGCACTAAAGTGCAAACCCTCGGCACACTTAATAGAAATGTGGAACCCATACACAAGTGTGGCACCACCACAATTGATGGTCTTGAGCATCAAAAAGAACAGCATGTTATGCACCATTATTTTCAATAGGTTGAAAAAAAAGGCCAGCCCTTGAGGCCAAAATATATATAAGGTTGAAAAATTGGCAACCTTTCATCTCTATAATCGTATTACCCGTGGATTCTTTAGTGGCAAAAAAAGTAAAAACCTAGTTGAAAAAAAATTTCGTTAAATCGCTCGGCCCTTCATCTCTCCAGACAGACGTCTACGGGCGCAGTGCAATACCGACCTATACGCTGCCCTGGCCCTTTGAGAAGCATGGGTCAGTGGTAGATTTGTGGGTAAGGGGAGCTGTTCCCAGCCAATGCTCTGGACCACCTGACACTTTAGTGCGGGATCGGGATTCGAACCGGGCACCTATGGTGTCAGTCCCCACGACTCTAACCACCTAGCCACTCGGGCTGGCCTTGAGAGGTGATGAAAAAACGTTCCAGTTATAGCTACCAACACTACATACACATCATTGTAAAAGGCGCACACCCGGGATCGAACCAGGTACCTCACGATCAAGAGAGGGGGTGCTTATCCATCAGACCCCCACCCATTACTTGAATGGGAACAGTGTAAATGGAAGTGCAAACCCTCGGCGCACTGTGACGCGCACGCGTAATGCGCCGTACCACTAATTGATGGGCTGGGTTTAGTTTTAGCTGTTACCCGTGGTCTCTTGCCAGCTCGCGCAGAGTCTGACGCAGGCTGACTACACTACTAGATAGCATGCGAGAGGCGATACACGCCCTGCGTTGCATCTTCTGGTGCCTCCGAAGTACGCAGAGCACGCGATCCGACTGTGGTAGTAAGCCATCCCGTCCGTTGTGTATTTGCATATTGGCTTTTTAGCGCTCTAGCTTTGCAAAGGAGCAGTTTCAGAAAAAAACGGTTCGCAATTTCTGACCTTCATTGCCCGTTAAGTAGGTCGTATCCTTTGTGAGACGAACAAACACCCGAGAATTGAGATTGAGAGCACAGACGGACCGACAAACCCAACTACAGTAACCCTCGCTGCGCATGCGCGCCGAGGGTTAACTAGCACACAGGGAAGCGAGGGGTACGGAAAATGCTGATGTTCGCCAGATACAAGTCGCCAGTCGGTTGAAGATCCATATCTTCTGTCAAAAGGGGTCCTTATATCCCTCCCACTAGTGGTTTGTTTCTCGTAATTGTCGCCATGAACCGTCTTGCTAACCATGGTATAAATTTGGATGTGTGCGAATCAGAGTTAGAGAGACAACTCCTGGTGCACTCTACTTGACTCTTTGACTACCATGGACCTCACCTTCTTCAGTCATGTGTTATGCTTCCTACATGTTTTTTAACTTGTCTGTATACATGTCATGCCCGGGCGGGCCATTCAAACATGAACTTTGAACTTTAACTAGGCTTATGTACTATAGGGAATGATAATGCAGAAACCAATTTTTTAAACGTAGAGGTAATTTACACCCAAGTATTCCGGTCACCCCTGACACTATAATATTATAGCAGTAGCCCAAGGCTCAGCAGTTTTAGTGTGGTACTCATGCTCCATACAAAACCATTTTAGGCCAATAGGATACCACTGTGCTCTATTCAAGGTCACAAGTCAGCGGCAGATCCAGAAGCTTCTACAAGGGTTCCTGCCAATCGTGGACACTGGTGCGCATGCGCGTGGACCGATGGCAACGCCCCCTCCCCCAACGAAAGATCCGATGAAAGAGCTTGGGATGAGGCGACTGCTCAGAGACATGACCATGGGTGGGAATTTGGCGCTATGGCGCTCAAAAGAGCGTCAGGTGGTTTTAGTGAGCGCCAAGCCAGACAAACCCAGCGCCAGCAGCAACTGTGAAGCGGACAGAGCTCTCGAAGGCCTTAGGTCATGGCGCGCGCGCGAAGGCCGCCGGCCGGCCGGGGATCTCTACGCATGCGCGCATAAGAACGCTGCAGTACAGGAGCAAATCCACACCCATCGACATCGTATGGCTTTAGATTATGGCTCAGCAAATGAAGTGCAGTTGGAATCTGTTTGGCATGTGCCACTACAGCAACTCTTCACTATAGCACACCGTATAACGATTCAGTATACTGTTACTCGTGATAGATACTTCGCTAATCAGATCGGTTTCTTACGGTGGTGCTATCCTATTTCATGTTTCCATTTTCCAAATTCACCTTCCATTTTCCATTTCGCGTTGCCCTAAAGCGCTGCGAACGATTAATAGATATGCTAGGCGGCGCCATCCATCGGTGAGTGGACATTGTGGCCATTCCTCGTCGACCTTTTACCGATCTGGGTGTCCGGGTGGGTGAAAGAACGAACCGGAGCTACGTACGAATCTATATAGTCTAGTCATGCACGCAGGCCAGGAGATCCCCGGCGTAAGACCCTACGCGGTGGGTGTGATTAGCGAGATTACCGACGACGTAGATCAAGCGGCGCCGTCAAACGCTCGACGTTTTTAGTGTGACACGTTTGGAATTGGGCTGCTGATAATTGGCTGTTGTGTTTCTTGCAGAAAAGGATAGCATTCATGATCAGAAGGTGCAGCTACTTACCCTGTATATAGCTACAAGCAGGAAAGTATATGGTCCCACACAGAGAAAGACGAGGAAACGGGATACTTTTACATAATTGGAGGTGATAGAAGGTAGGGTGAATTGCGTGCTATTGTGTGTGCAAATCATACTTGTAATATTGCTGTTTTTGTACGATAGAAAAGCATGGATAAGACTTGGAATCATGACGCCCAAAATGAGTTTGTTCAACTGCTGTACAAGGCTGCCCCTCAACTGGAACACTATGTGTCTCAGCAGTGGAAGGCTTTTAAACTGGGAAACATGACCAATGGGAAAATGTGCGTCAACCACATGCCCCAAATTTAATAGTGTGATTTGTAGGTTTTTGATTGTGTACAGGGAGAAAGACAAGCTCTCATCTGTAGGGAATGACCAACCTGATGGGCAGGTCAGTATAATCAGGGCCAGCTATATCACCATATCGAGTCACTCTTCATGCACAGTGCCCTCTGTCTTCAAGAGTGTCTGCTGTGAAAACACCCATATCATCACCGCCCAAAGTATTCCGGTCGCCCCTGGCACCAGCAACGCTCTGCAATGTAGCCTGAAATTGGCTCGGCAGTTCATAGCCCAGTTGAGTGGGTCCTCGCTGTACCAGCTCACCATAAACCCTGGGGAGACGGTCACCGTGCAGGTCCCCACGAGTCCCGGGGCCACTGGGAGTTTGTCTCCCTGTTGTCAAGAGGGACTGCTTGGAGGACCTTGTGTTAGGTAGCCACCAGTATATACCAGCTGTGCAGGACCTACTTTCTACACTTTGACAGCTCCCACTGTCCAACGACTTCTAAATGTGTATATATACTATGAAGTGTTCTACCAGAGAAGCACTTTACCTGAGCTTTTGCTGTAAATATTGTCACATGTTCATATTATATGCCTGGCACAACTAATGTTTTACTGATTACTCCTTACAGCACCCATGTTTTACTGATAACTCCTTACAACACCCATGTATGCGATAAATAATGAATTTTCACCCACTGCATTTGTAGCTTACTTATTATGCAGTGTTTATACACAATGCTGCAGTTTTCTTTGCTCACCATAACACATAATGTCGTCAATGTCTGGGCAGCAGTCATTTCCTGAATGGCAGGCCGAGTCGCAAAAGCAGTTTCCCGGTTGTCCTAGACAATCATCAGTGTCACAACATCCCATATTATTATGCCCAGCAGCTACACAAGAGCCTGTAGTCAGTTGTAATAATTATTATTGAACTTGGATTGTCAGGGATTGAGACTCACCAGCACCCTCTAGATTTATAGTAGAGGACTCTAATCTTGCTCCCACAGTTGGAGATACGAGTTCAATGGACAGTGGTAAAATGAAAGGGGTTAGTTTGGTGCCGCTATCGTCTGTCAAATTTCCAAGCATGACGGTTAACACAGAGCACAACTTGTCAGCATTTGCATCCGCTTCAAAACTGAAAGTTTCACTGAGTGGGCTGGACAATCCTGTATAATTATTAGAGGAGTAGCTATGATTTTTACCCAGTTTGTTTGATCAAAGAACTGACCTGTTGAGCTCGCTGATATTAGCAGAGTAATAATCTCGTCCATGGTGCCTTCTACACCGAAGCATATTTCTACTTCTGCAGTAGACTGTGGCTGTAGATCTGTGACAATAGTATTAGTTCCGACCGTCTCGGGGGTTAAAATCAGATCACACGTATCAGATGATGGCTCCTACATTATTGTAGAGAACACTGTGACTACCGTATGTGAGAGCAAGAATAGCTATAGGCTACCATTTCCAGGCCTTCAATTTGAACATAGTAGGTGAGGGTTTCAACTACAACTGTCAACCTGTGTGAACAGAAATGTCGGATTAAAGAAATTCAGGCTATTTTTGGTGTCACACACCAAAATGTGACATTTCCCCCTAGTCCTCGTGAAGGGGCTAGCCAAGTCAGCTCCACCTCAGTCTTTTCAGAGTTGTTTGTGTGAGTTGCCGTGTGATCCTCCTGTTCAAGGAAAAACAGTTTTGTGCTTCAAGAAACACTAAAGAACGACACAGAAAGTTACTTGCTGTAATGGTATACCAGTATTTCGGGAAGACCACTATGGTTGCAGTATCAAAGTTCACTTGTAATTGGCTATGCATACCTAAATCACCTACCAAACCTATGCCACACTGAAGAAGTTGTACATCTGCAGATATGTCTGTTGTGACGAAAGCTCCAACGAAAGGGGCATTTGGGTCAAACACGTCCGTTGATAAGCGGGGCTGGACCATAAAACCTCGGAAGATGACATTTCCATGTAGCAGAACTGCAGGACCATTTGAATTTTAGTAGATCTATATTTCATGTAAGGGCACTGAAAACTCACCTTTATGCTGTCTCCCGCACGTGTACATTGGCAACTGACTGTCAACTGCAGTCACAGGGACAGAGTCTATTTCTTGCAGTGTCATTGTAAACGGACATTCCACTTCGCAATCTTGCGGATTAGCTCCATGTTGAGGTGTCAGTGTGGAGCAAGCTTCAATGGGAGCACCGTCGGGATTGCCGTGAACCACGAACCGTGTGGCTATCACCAACAATACCACTAGAAAAAACATCTCAGGCAATAAGGCAATTGTTTTCCGCTCCTTGCTTTATAACGTGCTGCTTCCGCGCTTACGCATGCGCACGACCTACTCCGCGACACTCGCATGCCCACACAATGCATACACGTAACGTTGAACCTGGGAACCTCGGCAGCTTGCTTACTGGCTCTCATCGCCGTCTCAACGTTAGGGGTTACTAGCGGTCTTCCGTTAGGCGATCGCGGCATGCTCCACGCTAACGCCAGAACCGCGGCCAGAGACACGGTGGCACTGTATATACACGAACCGCTCTGTGTATCTTGAAGGCACAAGAAGTCACAATGAAGGGCGTGTATCGACTCCCGCATGCTATCTGCTACTGTAGCTATCCCGTGTCAGACTCTCCGCGAGCTATACTAGCGGGAGATCACGAGAGTAAACGCCCTAATAGCCCAGCGCGCCCATAAATTAGCGGTACCGCGCATGCGCAGTTCGCCGAGGGTTTGCGCACACAATCAAGTGTAATGGAGTGTGTTATGATTCCTGCTCTGTGGATGTTGAATGGTGAACAGCTACTAACATTCATTTTCACTACACAAGAATAATTATGGAAAACCCTGTGCACACAACGAGAGTCACTAAGAAGTTAAGAAGTCAGAGGTGTCCAGTGACAGGGGTGGAGGAGGGAGGGGAGGAGTCTTTGTTAATGTACACCATGTCATAGGCAGTGACCTTTCTTCTCGTTTGTCCCACTACATCATAGGCCTCGTTACCAACTGTACCAATGACCTCTGGCTCACTGGAGAATGGGGAATGGATATTACAAGGCTAGTAAGGCATAAAGGCACTATGGAGAATTAGACTCTGAGAACGAGAATTCTTCTGTGATTGTACACCCAAAGTATTGGTAAACACCAAATAACATAATTATGATGACTGCCAAACCTAAAATCAAGCGGCTCCGAGTACTTCCCATAGCCACATAGGTGTGAGGCTAGTTATATTTCTTACACATAAGTGGGTTCCCTTGGAGGCTTTGGTGATGCCCCATCAACTGTGTTTCTATACATGCTGTGGTCAACTCTTCTTCTGCACGGGAGATACACGCATTCATAAAGACATTGGTGACAGTAGATGTCTTGATATACCTTAAGACTGGAGAGACTGTTCTGCGATGCTTCAATACCAGAGAAATGAAAAGCACTAAAGTGCAAACCCTCGGCGAACTGCGCATGTGCGGTACCACTAATTGATGGGCTGGGTTATTTATGCCTTTACTCGTGGTATCCCGCTAGTAGCTCGAGGAGAGTCTGGCATGGGCTAGCTACAGTAGTAAATAGCATGCGTGAGTCGATACATGCCCCTTCGTTGTGACTTGTTGTGCCTTCAAGACACACAGAGCGAACAGACGCGGTCGAGGTAAGCCTGTGCTAATTTACATATTGGCTTGTTCACTTGGTTTTCACGCCATAACTTTAAAACACAGTGGTCCAGTGTAGCACTGAACCCGATTATATCGTTATTTACCTGATTTCGTGCGCGCGGTGGCAGAAAACGTGGTAACAGACAGACAGACTGACAGACAGACTGACACACTTACGGGACAACTACCGTAACCCTCGCTGCGCATGCGCGCCGAGGGTTAACTATGACTGTTGTATATAGTAGCAGCTGTGGCAAGCACAAACAGAAGTGAACCCATAACCCCTCCAATAATGATGGCTTCAGCATTGTCACACGTAGAGTAAGGGACTGTGTGAAGAATGGGATGAAATCGCATGATACATAATAATTTATGCTCGCAAGCACTCTCAAATAAAACTCACTCGTGGAAATGATGATTAGTAGTTCCAGCGATGTTTCTGGCTCAAACAGTGGTGTTGTATATGGTGGAGAAGTCTAACTGCTTTATAGTGTATTTGGTCCTGTTGAGTCTCTCACTGCTGGTCACTGCTGCCAGCCTCATTGGAAGCTGTTAGAGTGACAGTATACCTGTTGTTCTCCTCCAGACCCACCAGGTCATAGCTAGTGGAGCCACCAGTGAGTGTGCTATTGCCTTGGTCCTCATTCGGACAGTCTCCTGACGCGTCTCTCTGCCACACCACCTCATAGCTGGTCACCACAGAGTCACTGGGGACACTCCATGATATGGATATGGAGGTGGCTGTTACATCTTGGTGGGAAATATTCTGCATGGTGTTTCCATTTGCACTCCTTCCCAAAGCGTCAAAAGCTCATCAACCATGCATGACAAGTAAGGATTTAAATCACCACAACTAGGCTCTTTAGGACCAGGGATAGTTGACACAATAATGATATTCTCTGGTTTGAAGCGCAGTGAGCGAGGAAGATTTTGAATAACTAGGTAAATAACCCCAACACTATACTGGATATGAGCAAATGGCTGAAACCAGTCAATATTAAGCATTAGAACAAGATTACCAGGAACCTCTAGGTAAGAAACCCCACCAGGTTTCATCCATTCTTTCCACAGGTTTCCATCATATACATCAGCTAGCCAGTTATCAGGTGTTTTTCTATTCCTCCATGTTTCACAATTGTCCAGAAAGCCTGGTGTTTTCACAAGCTTTTTTAATGGTTGAACAATGCCGTAGTACACATATGTTTTTCGCGGTACCAGTTTGTATATCTGTCTAACCTTTACCTTCTTCATTAGTTCTTTTCCACATTTTTTCCGATGGGAAGATTGTGGATGATTTGGGTATCGTACAAAATCACATTTCAACCCTCGATCACCACCAGATAGCTTTATTATACAGTCAGATTTTTTGTAAAGCGTATGGCAACGGGGACACACAACATATTCTTCACAGGATTTAGAGAAATTTAACAACTTTTTTACTGAATAAAGCGTTCTGGGAAACCCATCGGTAAACTGCTTTAGAATACCACCATCATTTGAAAGCACTAGCAATGCCCTGAGGAGAGCTAACATAAAACCCAGCAGGAGTGCAATGGCTCGGTCAGGGACCCGAAAGCACAACTGAAAAAATGATACAAAAGCACTAACCATAAAATGAAGATGACTAAAGGTGCTATTAGCACTTGACTCTGTCTCCGATGCACTGTCAGAATCATTTCCATCCCATACCTCTGGGGCTGAGTCTGGTGCTGATTCACTAGATTCTTATGTAGATGCTGTGGAACTAAAGTCTGTGCCATTAGAACCTTTCTCATCACACAAACTGCTGGCATCCAATTCGGAGTCATTCACGCTTTCGGACAACTCAAACGTACTATCAGAATCAGAGCATTCCGATTTGTGTGCTGGACAATAAACGCGTGGAAGTAGTTGGTGACGTTGGTACGCCCTATGTCGCAAGTAATACTGACAGGACGAACACTTGTACGTCTGTCTACGACGACGTTTTCTCGTAGCAGTACTCATAGAGACACCGCCGCCTCTCGCTCTATATGCTACTCCTACTACGCATGCGCACAAACTCGCTTGCGCAGCTGCACGCGCACCGAGCTGCTGTGTGCGTGGCGGTCTTTTGAATTGGTTCTGCTCGCTAGAGAGAAAGGACTCTCCGTTACTTCTATTCATTTGTAATGGACTTCTGCAGGAAAAGACCAAGTTCGGATGTTGGAATGGGAAACCGGGGGTAAGTACGTAGTGCAAACTAGTAGGACGGTTCCATCCATGTAGCCATGTACCACGCTCCATCCACTCTTCAGAATTTTATGTATATTTTCCGCGTGGTACATAATGTAAGCCAGCCCAGTCTTGCGTTTTTTATAGAAACTCTATCGCAGCTGTATAGTGTTACTGTGCTTCAATTAGAAATATTATTCCACTTCTGCAGTGTATTGCCTGGTTCCAAAAGTGCTCGGCGTTTGATTTTTAGTCGTCCTCAAAAGGAGCAGGGTACCAGTTCTTTTTACTCCCGAACTGCTGCCGCAAGACGACCTTTCAATCCTGTTGATATGAATGATTTATATATCCCTGATTCTCCTGAACGAACTATGAATGAAAATACTATGACATGGCAGCCTGGTGAAACGCTACCAGTGTCTAGAAGGCCTGGACCACAGCCATTCTCAGCTGAGGCTCAACCTTCGCAATCGACAAGCATGAGTGATATTCAGATCATGCTTCAGTCGATGCAAAGTTCCATAGAAAAAAGTTTTGATGATGTGAAAGGGAGGCTTTCAGATTTAGAGGCTCGAATGACAGGTGTAGAGGAAAAGCAACAAGAGGTTGTTAACATCCGAATACACCTACTTCGTCCTCTTCAGAAAATGAGCTCAGTCGTAAACGACGAAGCCCTCCTGAGCTTCAGGTATGCTCATTCTGGTGCACATTTAACACACAAATGTGTTAACCAATGCTGTTCTTGCAGTATGAAGTTCGAAAGGTGCATGGGTCTCTAAGTGATGATAACCAACTTATTTTGGAAGAAAGGTATGCCTTTCATGCATTGAAAAACCATGCTCACTCTATATAATTTCCGTAGGATTGATGGTAAACATAACAAAGCTGTGATTGCTAGCATAATCAAGGAGATAGGAGATTCTAAATTTACAGAAAAGCAAATGGAAGGTTTGTTTACCACTTTTTGTGTGATAATGATACTGTATACACAGCTGCAGTGAAATCGCACATGAAATATCTAAGGGATACTCGTCATGTCCGTCCTCCAGCTGTTCAACATAGAGTCAGAATCCGATCTCGACAACAAAGCTGTGAATAATGTATGTAACCCTTATCTGTGTGCAGGGTTTGTGAGTGTTATGTTTGTGCCTCTCTATTTCTTTGTCTCATATTAAACTTTACTTCAAGGTAAGCTGTTGCAGAGTGGAAATGACGGAGATGTCAAGCGCGGCTGGACGACCTCTTTCCCAATTAGGGAGGAAAATGTCAGTAGGGCGAGATTGGTTGTGAACAATAAAACAAAGATATAGGGATGGTGTCATGTAGCTTTGTGCATCTTTGCTGTGTAATGACCCCTTGTTTCTTCCTTTTTGGTGCTTCAAGCCATCCCTATATCCCCCTTTCATTTTGAAGAAATGATTTTTCCACTTGTTTCCACTATTTTTCACGCCTTATGACAACACTGCATTTTCAGTCACTCTGATGTTCATGGGTGTTGTAGAGATAACTGTTGAAAGCAGAAGCTAATGGGCTGCTCCTACCTGAAGCAGGGTGTATGCGTAGTGTCTCCAACAAGGATGCAATTAGATTGTGGCACATATGGTGGGGTGGTTTCATAGGCAGGCTTCAGTAATCAGAATACAATAACCTGGGGGACAAAGAATGAAGGCGCTGTGCAAGGCCCGCGTAACACGGCGCACACTGCCAAGTTGCTCCTCGTGCAAATCAACAGCAAAACGCAAGCTAGCCAGTTAAAAATGTGTATACTGACTTACAGAAGGCATTGGAGGATAAGAATTCCTCTGCAGGCATCCTGGCTTAGTCTCGTGGACCTGGTTTACGCACGAGACTATAGTAATGCGCGCGCACCGCATTGGGGAAACGCCCCCTCCTCGGCGCATGCGGCTCACTGATGCTGAGTTAGCAGCAAATGGCGTTGTTCAGTGACTACCGTGGAAGAGCTCAATGATCTACCGTAGTGACTTGCGGCAAAAAACAAGCGATCGCTTGATATGCGTGCACACCTCTGGAAAATTTGGAGACGTTCTGTGAAAAAATCAACGCTTCAACTACTTCCGGTAAGGAGCTAGCGGGTCTGAAGAAGAAGAAGAAGAAGAAGAATATGATGATTATGATGACACGAAAATCGCGAAATCGCGTAAGAGCGAATTCTCTGGTGGGGAACTGAGGGCACGTAGGAAGTCTTGGGGCATATGTATAGCTAGGTATTGGCCTCTAGACTATTGCTAGTGATTTTGAAGCCATGGTGAGTCATTCTCGCTGAGTTTTGAGGCGTTTTGTACGCGGATCACGTGAGATTTCACTCGTGTCATCCCTATATAGAGCGTCTACCGACGCTCTGATAATAATTATACTGCATTGTTATAAGCCTACCTTAAAGGTCTTCTTTATGCTGGTATCAGAAATTGTTATACATGTTATACAACTATCATAAAACTTGTGTATAAAACTGATATACTACTGATATAGGTACCAAAATTCATGCCTATAACTCTAAGTTTTCATGGTGTTATGAGCCCAAATATTGAGAGAAAAACACCGACGTAGGAAATGATCTCAAGAGCTGTCCTAGAAGCTTCAGATTGTTCACAGTCTCCCTCAGTTCTGGAGCATACATCCTGAAGTGGGGGTTTGATGGTGTAGCTACAGAGACTACAACGTGTATATTTACTCACAACTAATGCAGCAAAGTTTGTTAGATGACTGCAGTTGCATTTGACGGTTCTGGACACCTTATCCAGGGTTGTGTTGCATCCTCTATTTGTCCAGTTCCCTACACCACCTGTGTGATATTGGAAGTAACTCATCAACGTTCATAAGAGCTGCACATAATAGCGAAACAAACCCGAAGCTTCAAAATCCCAGCTGACACATGCTCCATTTTCAATCACTTCATCCTCCTAAAGTGTTTGCAGTAAGCTTTCTGAACTTCATTTCTTAAACACAACTCACTGTGTCGATTTCCAACTGAAAGGTGATTATAATTGGGTCCAGAAGGTCTGATATGTTAGGTATACCACCAATCAGTGTGCCAATGACTGAAGTACGAATCTGTAGGTCGGCACGAGTCCCATTGGCCAGAGGAAAGAGGACGGGGGTCTCGAAGAAAGAAAACACCAATCCAACCCCTCTACCAACAGAATTGTTAGTGACCCTGTCAGTGCTAAACAAGCTCCCTGGGAGCTGTATTGAGGCCAGGACGCCATCAGTTACTCCTGGCAGTGTGGTAATGCCTACATGGTGGGGTTTCTAAATCTTAGTCTCACAGAACATCATATTATTTACCTTTGTCGTCTCTTGTGGCACCAAATTCTCTTCCACTTGTTTGGAGCTGCTCTATGTTGTTCTTTTAGAGACAGCAGAAACAGAAGGTCGTCACACACCAGTTGTGTTAAAAGTCAACACTTACTCTTTCCACAAGTAGGGCAGATGTATCGCCCTCAAAACGTAACACTGTAACGTTTTCTTCGGTTCCAATCTCTTGATTTACCGCCAGAGCATTTGCCACATTTTCTAACACTTCCACCACACTAAACAGGTAAAAAATAGAATAAGTAGGTAAAATAGACAGTTTCCCCTTCTCTCTCAGCTTAGGAAAGCGTACTTTATGTTATTTGTCATCTGAATTTCGTCTTCCTCCCAGACTTGCAGATCATCTACTATACTTGACACCGACTCAACAACCTTGAAAGAATGACCATGTGGTGATCAAATGCCACAAAAGCCACCTCACTACTTTGTACCTGTCTCAGATCTGTATCATTGAGGGCAGCGTTGTTGACAATGCTACTGGTGGCGTTGAGTACATTTGTAATCACTTCAAAGTTTCTGCGAGATTGGTCAATGGTGTCATCTGTCATATCCACCAGTGCTGCAAATTCCTCCAACATTACGACAACATTTTCCTCCGCTACATTCTCCTGCAGATACATGAGCAATTTTTAACAAATCTTAGAGGAGAGGTAATTATCATACTCACCACTTCGAATCCTTGATACATCATTGTGATCATGGTGTAGCAATCACTATAGTCTATGATGTCACTCCACTGTCTCTCCCTCCCGAGACAAACAGTCTCGTTGGGCATCTGTGTTAGGTGGTCCAAAGGCACATTGTACTTGACTGTGTGTCTCCGACACTGGTTTCCGGCCATGTGTGTCCTCCAAACTCCTTGTTAGTTGTGGAATTGGTATCGCAGAACCCGTCATCTGGATTGGTACCAGCTGCTATATGTGATATAGCTACGCACAGTGCTCACCTGCTTCAATAATGATTTCGATGGGTGAAATTATGCCTTCATTCACAAGAACTTCCTTCAATTTAGCAGAGTCCAGTGATTGGTCGCTGTTGTAGTTGTTGAATAGACATTCAATTCTTCTATGCTCGTTTTGAAGTCTAGAGTAGTTATACCAGATGAATGTTAGTCCATTAGATATTCATTGATACCTTTTGCAATTGAATTCTTGATAGCCTTCTTTTTCCACATCTATTGATGACAAAGCCTAAATACGGAAGGAAATTGCGTAAAATGTAGTTTGTAGTACACCACAAAGACTGTTGTTTTACTTACCACACTGTTGATGAGCACATTAGACGGTATGGGCTCCAAACTGCCATTGATTGAAAATCGAACATAACTCGATACAGTAGGATCTTCCAGAGCTAATATGTGTGCAAGACAGAGAAACTAATGCAAATTTTTACGATCAAATTTTAACAAGGAACCTGGTATTTCAAGAGTAACTGGTATTGAAGCAGAAGCATCTTCATTGTTGTTGGTCGCAGTACAGGTGTACTTGAATGTTCCGCTTGCTATCCCACGGATACCCACTACCAGACTTTGTCTGGAGAAGCCAAGACCTTCACTCAGAGTGATGGGCATATCTCCATAAGGAACACCACTCTCGGATTCCTCAAGGGGGACTTGACTCCCATCTGTAGTAGGGAGTGTAGTGACATGTTTCAAAAGATTGTCTTTTTCTTAGACTCTACCTTGTTTGGTCCACTTTACATTACCAGCATGCTCTCCCTCTGATTGACATGTTAGATTCAATGACCGGCCAGGTTCCACGACGAGAGAAACATCGTTATTCCCATGTTCTAATATGTCCAGCTGCGGTGGGATACCTAAACAAAGATATTTAATTTTAATTCCAACATATCTGTTTAATAATGGAAATTAATGTTTTTAATCCTTACAACCCCCATAATTAGCTTACTTATTATGCAGTGTTTACAATGCTGCAGTTTTCTTTGCTCACCATAACACATAATGTCGTCAATGTCTGGGCAGCAGTCATTTCCTGAATGGCAGACCGAGTCGCAAAAGCAGTTTCCCGGTTGTCCTAGACAATCATCAGTGTCACAACATCCCATATTATGCCCAGCAGCTACACAAGAGCCTGCAGTCAGTTGTAATCATTATTATTGAACTTGGATTGTCAGGGATTGAGACTCACCAGCACCCTCTAGATTTATAGTAGAGGACTCTAATCTTGCTCCCACAGTTGGAGATACAACTTCAATGGACAGTGGTAAAATGAAAGGGGTTAGTTTGGTGCCGCTGTCGTCTGTCAAATTTCCAAGCATGACGGTTAACACAGAGCACAACTTGTCAGCATTTGCATCCGCTTCAAAACTGAAAGTTTCACTGAGTGGGCTGGACAATCCTGTATAATTATTAGAGGAGTAGCTATGATTTTTACCCAGTTTGTTTGATCAAAGAACTGACCTGTTGAGCTCGCTGATATTAGCAGAGTAATAATCTCGTCCATGGTGCCTTCTACACCGAAGCATATTTCTACTTCTGCAGTAGACTGTGGCTGTAGATCTGTGACAATAGTATTAGTTCCGACCGTCTCGGGGGTTAAAATCAGATCACACGTATCAGATGATGGCTCCTACATTATTGTAGAGAACACTGTGACTACCGTATGTGAGAGCAAGAATAGCTATAGGCTACCATTTCCAGGCCTTCAATTTGAACATAGTAGGTGAGGGTTTCAACTACAACTGTCAACCTGTGTGAACAGAAATGTCGGATTAAAGAAATTCAGGCTATTTTTTGTGTCACACACCAAAATGTGACATTTCCCCCTAGTCCTCGTGAAGGGGCTAGCCAAGTCAGCTCCACCTCAGTCTTTTCAGAGTTGTTTGTGTGAGTTGCCGTGTGATCCTCCTGTTCAAGGAAAAACAGTTTTGTGCTTCAAGAAACACTAAAGAACGACACAGAAAGTTACTTGCTGTAATGGTATACCAGTATTTCGGGAAGACCACTATGGTTGCAGTATCAAAGTTCACTTGTAATTGGCTATGCATACCTAAATCACCTACCAAACCTATGCCACACTGAAGAAGTTGTACATCTGCAGATATGTTTGTTGTGACGAAAGCTCCAACGAAAGGGGCATTTGGGTCAAACACGTCCGTTGATAAGCGGGGCTGGACCATAAAACCTCGGAAGATGACATTTCCATGTAGCAGAACTGCAGGACCATTTGAATTTTAGTAGATCTATATTTCATGTAAGGGCACTGAAAACTCACCTTTATGCTGTCTCCCGCACGTGTACATTGGCAACTGACTGTCAACTGCAGTCACAGGGACAGAGTCTATTTCTTGCAGTGTCAATGTAAACGGACATTCCACTTCGCAATCTTGCGGATTAGCTCCATGTTGAGGTGTCAGTGTGGAGCAAGCTTCAATGGGAGCACCGTCGGGATTGCCGTGAGCCACGAACCGTGTGGCTATCACCAACAATACCACTAGAAAAAACATCTCAGGCAATAAGGCAATTGTTTTCCGCTCCTTGCTTTATAACGTGCTGTTCCGCGCTTACGCATGCGCACGACCTACTCCGCGACACTCGCATGCCCACACAATGCATACACGTAACGTTGAACCTGGGAACCTCGGCAGCTTGCTTACTGGCTCTCATCGCCGTCTCAACGTTAGGGGTTACTAGCGGTCTTCAGTTAGGCGATCGCGGCATGCTCCACGCTAACGCCAGAACCGCGGCCAGAGCACGGTGGCACTGTATATACACGAACCGCTCTGTGTATCTTGAAGGCACAAGAAGTCACAATGAAGGGCGTGTATCGACTCCCGCATGCTATCTGCTACTGTAGCTATCCCGTGTCAGACTCTCCGCGAGCTATACTAGCGGGAGATCACGAGAGTAAACGCCCTAATAGCCCAGCGCGCCCATAAATTAGCGGTACCGCGCATGCGCAGTTCGCCGAGGGTTTGCGCACACAATCAAGTGTAATGGAGTGTGTTATGATTCCTGCTCTGTGGATGTTGAATGGTGAACAGCTACTAACATTCATTTTCACTACACAAGAATAATTATGGAAAACCCTGTGCACACAACGAGAGTCACTAAGAAGTTAAGAAGTCAGAGGTGTCCAGTGACAGGGGTGGAGGAGGGAGGGGAGGAGTCTTTGTTAATGTGCACCATGTCATAGGCAGTGACCTTTCTTCTCGTTTGTCCCACTACATCATAGGCCTCGTTTCCAACTGTACCAATGACCTCTGGCTCACTGGAGAATGGGGAATGGATATTACAAGGCTAGTAAGGCATAAAGGCACTATGGAGAATTAGACTCTGAAAACGAGAATTCTTCTGTGATTGTACACCCAAAGTATTGGTAAACACCAAATCACATAATTATGATGACTGCCAAACCTAAAATAAAGCTCCGAGTACTTCCCATAGCCACATAGGTGTGAGGCTAGTTATATTTCTTACACATAAGTGGGTTCCCTTGGAGGCTTTGGTGATGCCCCATCAACTGTGTTTCTATACATGCTGTGGTCAACTCTTCTTCTGCACGGGAGATACATAGCATAGCATTCATAAAGACATTGGCGACAGTAGATGTCTTGATATACCTTAAGACTGGAGAGACTGTTCTGCGATGCTTCAATACCAGAGAAACTAAGACTATGGTGGTAGCAGCTGTGGCAAGCACAAACAGAAGTGAACCCACCACCCCTCCAATAATGATGGCTTCAGCTTTGTCACACGTAGAGTCAGGGACTGTGTGAAGAATGGGATGATATCGCATGATGCTTGCAAGCGCTCTCAAATAAAACTCACTTGTGGAAATGATGATGGGTAGGCTGTTAGTAGTTCCAGCGATGTTTTTGGCTCCAACAGTGGTGTTGTATATGGTGGAGAAGTCTAACTGCTTTATAGTGTATTTGGTCGCGTTGAGTCTCTCACTGCTTGTACCAGTCTCAGTCCCAGCCTCTTCCCACACCACCTCATAGCTGGTTACCACCGAGTCACTGGGAATGCTCCAGGAGAGGGATATGGAGGTGGCTGTTATGGCATTCACACTAACTGTTGGTTGTCCAGGTAATGGAACTGAATTGAGGAATGAAACTTCATGTACTTTCACACATCCATCAACTAAGTCTCACACCTTACCTAGTGTGACCTCTAATACTGTGGCATTGCTAGGAAGGTCTTTGGACAAAGCGGTAATGGTTACACTGTAGGTTACTCCATTTGTAAGGGAAGTTAAGTGGTAACCATCACTGGAGCCACCACTAATGTTCACTGTACTAGTGTTGTTGCCTGCAGTGAAGGAGATACTGTATCCAATAGTATCTCCCAGTGGAGAGGGTGGGATCCATGATACTCTGATGCTAGCAACACCTTCCTGTATTGCTCTCACATCAGTTGGACTAGATGCAACTGACAAAATGAAATGGTACTCTTAGCTATATACAGGAGTAAGATTTTGTTTGCTTACTATGACGAGTGATGCAGGTAACAGGCTCACTGTAGACCCCAGTACCAACGCTGTTGACTGCTGCCACTTGGATGGAGTACTCTGTTGTCTGTTTGAGTTCTAAAATAGTGGTCTGGGTGACACTGCCTCCAGGAACATATTGTGTCCCTGCACTCCCACTGTCCACCTCCTCATACCTAACTGAGTGACCTACTATCCTTCCATTTCTGTGGATACATTCAACTGGTTCCCAGTGGAGGCCAATACTGGTTGATGCGTGAATTGTTGCTACTATAGATCCAGGAGGAGCAGATGGAGCTGCAATCAATACGGTTGGTTGACTAAATATAAATAGGAACTGAAATTTATCTTACCAGCCGTGTCGGTGGTTTCTGTAACAGGATCACTGTGGTCACTGCTGCCAGCCTCATTGGAAGCTGTTAGAGTGACAGTATACCTGCTGCTCTCCTCCAGACCCAGCAGGTCATGGCTAGTGGAGCCACCAGTGAGTGTGCTACTCCCTTGGTCCTCAATAGGACAGTCTCCTGACGTGTCTCTCTGCCACACCACCTCATAGCTGGTCACCACAGAATCACTGGGAACACTCCAGGACAGGGATATGGAGGTGGCCGATACATCTTGTACACTAACGCGTGGCTGGTTGGGAACTGTATGATATAGAGAGTATGGCACGAAATATTGCCTTTAAATGCCATCAAGGTAGTGTTAAGTCGTAGCTGTTTGTTAATACCACGGGGGGCCTGTTTGTTCACCTAGCATGCAGACTTACTCACCTAAACCAACATCCTTGGCTGCCACAGTTTCACTGGGGGAATCCTGCCCTATGGCAAAAATAGAGACACTGTAAGTTTCTCCATTCTTAAGACCAGTCAGTATGTATGTATTGCTGGAGCCTCCAGCAATCTTCACACTATAACTGTTCCCTCCAGTAGTGTACAGGATCCTGTAACAAGTAGCGTGGATGGATGGTGCCCAGGAGACCAGGATGCTAGTAGGGTCTTCCTGAACTGCCCTCACATTAGTTGGTGCAGCAATACCTGAAATCATTACCATAAATTTCACACTGAAGTATAATTATGTGCAAAATAAAACTTCGCGTCAGCTAATATCAAAGTGTTGCAGTTATGAGCGTAACACAAAACACCAGTTAGGTGGCCAAACATCTTGTGGACAGTTAACTCTACCTTGTACAGTGAGGTTAAAATACTGAGGAAAAGGGAAGTGAAGGCGTAAAAACTCAAAAGAGGGCTGACAGACAAGTCCGGAAAGACTGAAAAGGGTAAGTGCACAGCGAAAAAACATACCTCCTATTGTAATGTTTACAGCTGCCCGTGATGGTTTATTGTTGGCTACAGTACATGTGTAGACTCCTCCCAGTGCCCCAGTCACAGTCAGAGTGTGGGTGTACAGTGCAGTCACTGGGTCATTCAACACAGTCTGGTTTCCTTGGGTGACAGTGGTGGAGTCTCTGGTCCAAGTGACAGTGGTGGCAGGTCCACCAGTGGAGATACAGGTGAGGATGAAGGACCTAGAGTCGTCTCCAACAGACCATGTCAGTCCACCCGGTATCACAACATTTCCTGCAGTGTTCATACACACATTCATACCATTTATATCTCGTGTGGTAGCTATGAGTTTGTGATGTTTACACATAAAGTCAGAATATGAAGGTGAAATTACTAAATGCTTGGTTGTTCCTGCTTGACCTAACTGTTGACACCTAACATAAATACATTTTTTTACCTCGCAACAATAATTATAATTGGCACACACACAGCAGAAATTAATGGGCTTTGTTGCTACCTATAATCTCACTGAGTCACTCAGATAATGCATCAATGTTCTATAATTTTTTTTATTACCTCCATCATTACCACCATAAACTCCCACGTGCACAGATAACTGCTCTCCAGAGCGAATAATTATTGGTATATCACAGCGATAAATGCCGGGTTGCGGTGGAGAACTGTCGACACGGCGACACAAGTCGACTCTCTGGTCTGCACGCCGCTCGAAAATGTCGCCTTGTCCCTCGAAAGGTAGCCGAGATCCGTTCGGGAAGTACCAGTCACCACGGTCCGGACCCTGGCTCGAACTGCAGCATGTGTTCACGTCAGTGTGACACTGGATGCAGTCCGTGCTCTTTTTGCCGAAGTCTATGTAGGAATGGTCGGCCAAATCCAGGCCCATGAAAGAAACGTGGGAAGCGCTCTGGCAATTGGCTTCCAACGCATACAAAGAGAAGAACAGGGAAGAGCATAAAGCAATCGTCAACTTCATTTCGCACACAGCAGGGGGATTGAATCTTAGGGCCTAGGGGAGCAATATGATTTCCGCGATGCATGGTTCTGCGCATGTCACCGCGGACGTTTGATGATGCGTGCATCGCGCGCGGCTAGCCGGGCGGAGCTAACATGCGCATTCTCTGTACTGTAAGCTTCACTGGATGTGGGAAATTATCTAGTCCTAGTATATACTCTGTAGCTCTGAATCCGAAAGCAAGAGAGAGACCGACTTCGGACGTACTTACTGCAGGCGCTTGGAACAATGAACACAAAATTGACGCTGCTAGGTCTCCTGTGTTGTCTAAAGATGGGCCATACGACATGTGAGTTTCTCGGCCTATTATAGAACACTCAACCCCTCTCTTGGTGGCCAATATATTATACTAATCAATAGCATCAACATCTGCGATCATTTCATGGAGATTGGCCAGTGATTTGACGGTTGCTCCCTACACATTCAACTACTACAACAGCAACAGAAGCAACTGTTTGTTCGGCTCTGGTAACAGTACCACAAATGGGACAACATATGAGCTGGGTGGTCTTGAAGTGGGAACTGAGCTGTCTATCACTGTGATTGCCAATCCCTCTACTGGTTAGCAGTTACCTGGACCTCAATCTCTAAAATTACGCCTCAATTAGCTAATGTGTGTGTCGTATGGCTCTCTTTCAGATACCACTGAAGACCAAGAAGTAGTTCCAACTTTCCTGACTGTGGCTAATGTGACCTCATCCACCATCACAATCACGTGGGAGATGGTACCGTGCCCATTTCTGAACGGGAAAGTGATAGGCTATGTAGTGAGGTATGGGAAAGTTGGGAGTTTGGAGAGGACTTTGTTTCACGTCCAGGGAGGTGACACTAATGAGACCACAATATCAAATCTAATAGCAGCCACACTCTACTCCATTGAAGTAGCAGGAGTCAACAGTTTCAGCATCATTTATTTCCTTGAACCTGGAATTCAACAATCAACCCTTCAAGGTATTAGCATATTGCTCATATTACTGCACAGTTAATGACTAATCTGTGGATCGAATTTGAGCATGGAAAGACGATAACAATGTATTTTTCATGATAAGGACACACAGCTTGACTCTATGATTCTTCTACCTGTGTGATTAAGGGACTAAATAATCCATAATCTCTCATAGCATCAGACTGAAAATAACTCAGACACAAGACGTACAGGCACCATCATTAGGGAGATGAAAAGAGATAACAGAGCAGTACAGTGTCATAAGACTTTTGTACACATGTGGGAAAATACCTGACCCACAGTTCAAGGCAAAGCAAACTCTATTATCTCTTCTCATTGCCATGATGATGGTGCCTGTATAGGCACTGAAACGTCACTGTTTAATTCCTTCTGAGCCATAATAATGATGGTTGAGTGATATGGGCGGGTGAATTCTTCGCTCGCGTGACTTGCATGTAACTATATATGCAGTCATTAGTCTTGGCGAATGCATCATTAAAATGCAGTCATGCCAAACATTCCAATATGCACATATTATGGTATATATGTAGCTCGTTTGCCTTTCGCATGAACTAGCAAGACTCGTGCATGAAGAACAAGATTGGTCGGTCCACATTGTCTACCTCACTGTGCTTTGCCAAATGCTAACCTTTTCCATTCTCAAGGGAGAACGCCCGCCCTAGAATGTATCACACTGTGCATTATTGCAGGTGTATCACTTGTTGAGGGTTGGTGGGTAGTTCACTGTGTGCATAATATTATGTTTATTAAGTTTACATAATCTCATTATTTTGATTTCCCTAGTCAGTAATATACTCACGGGACTAATGCCACTACACCACTAAACTGCACTCTGACTACATGTCTGCAAGGAACACCATTTTTTTAATCATTTACTTGTGAATGCAATAAAAAAACACAGTAACTAGGTTTGCACTAAATTTCATTCAAATAGGACATATGGAGATTGTACCACAGACACAGCTAGAGCACACTCCAATTTACCCTTGGGGTCTGTTTTACTATTCCCTTTCCCTCCTACTATGTAGCCTCCTCAGATTTTCCAGGTCAGCCAAACATGACTGTGGCTACCACTGCTCTCAGTGACTCCACAACAGCTACGAGTGTTCCAAGTGACTCAGTGGTGACCAGGTATAAAATATGTTGTAGGATGACTAGCAGTAATGGCTACACTACCATGCTACAGAACCACAGCCACAGTTGGCACCACTGACAGGTCACCTGGTGAGTATACAACCTGCTATAATACCAAAGATCTAGTTTCTGTCTTTCTCCTCTCCTATTTAGTTAACAATGGAGAGGACTGTGCCTCCACTGGTAAAACTCTTAATTTTAAGATTCCTACTTGAATGCATGAATTCTTTTCAGGAGTCACTCAAGAAAGCAGTGACACCACAACTATCACTGTTACCTTAGTTGCAGGATTTGCTGGGTTTATTCTCATTTTCCTAGTCATAGTAGCTGCTATGGTTTTTCTAGTATTTAGAAGGTTCAGAAGAAGCTACTCAGCCATCAAGACCAAGATAAGGCAAGTTTTTATGAACTGCATACATAAGTCGTAGAATGGGGAGCAGTTAGGCTAACACTGGAACTTGGTGTTTATCCGAGGGTTCACTACTGTGTCACAGGGATCCAGAAATTGTGGCCAGCATCCAAGTCAACGAGACAGCTTTCTGCATTGGCAACACAGAAGCTACAAACCTACCACAAACCTTCAGGTATAATCATAGCTCATGACAGTATGCTCTGTTATTGCTGATCTATAACCACTAGCGAGCCTGAGACTGCCAGCAATGAGTCCCACCCTCCAGGCAGACAGACAGCGGACTCTTCTCTAACTGCTCCTATCAAGTATATGCGTGTTATCGACAGCCCTGTTTTTAATGATCCTACTGTTTATTAAAGAGACGCCTACATGGAGGTTGTCAATGAGCTGGCAGACGACACCTCCCTCGCCAAGTACGTTACCTATTTTTATGTATCCAGCCATTTCGAAGTCGTACACCTGTCGATGCTACTACGTCACACACTCGACGGGTCGACTCTGATTTCATCCACAGCATAATTATGTATAATATTATTGTCTGCAGAGACCCTAACACAACCGTGAACGAAGCGTACTTGGAAGTGGTAAAACAGACACTGAGTGGCATTGGCAACACAGAAGCTACAAACCTACCACAAACCTTCAGGTATAATCATAGCTCATGACAGTATGCTCTGTTATTGCTGATCTATAACCACTAGCGAGCCTGAGACTGCCAGCAATGAGTCCCACCCTCCAGGCAGACTGACAGCGGACTCTTCTCTAACTGCTCCTATCAAGTATATGCGTGTTATCGACAGCCCTGTTTTTAATGATCCTACTGTTTATTAAAGAGACGCCTACATGGAGGTTGTCAATGAGCTGGCAGACGACACCTCTCCAGCCAAGTACGTTACCTATTTTTATGTATCCAGCCATTTCGAAGTCGTACACCTGTCGATGCTACTATGTCACACACTCGACGGGTCGACTCTGATTTTTCATCCACAGCATAATTATGTATAATATTATTGTCTGCAGAGACCCTAACACAACCGTGAACGAAGCGTACTTGGAAGTGGTGAAACAGACACTGAGTGACCCCGAGACCTTTGGCAATGAGTCCTATCATACAGTGGGAGAAACAGCAGTAGACAGTCACCAAGAAGCCCTCTACATCTGTATTGCTGTTTCCAAGTATGTCTAGCAATCTCAACGCAACCAGTAGTCCAGAGACCCTAAGACAGTACTTACAAAGGCATAAACAAAGAAGTATTAACTTTCCACCCCATATAATATTGGTAACAAGCTAAGACATTATTTCTTACCTCAAGAGACAGTAACACACAGCTACAAACCGATTATCATCCTCTGCCTTCAATATTTATAGTGATCCAGAGAGTGGAGGAAATTAGAGACGGAGGGATCCGGACAGACAGAAAGATAGTCACAAACTCAACTTCACAATTAGTACTCACCCCATCCTGCGCAATCATTTTAGTCATTTTATTATCTTGTATTGTGTCCCCGTCAAGCTTGTGGCAGCAATGCTAATGCATTCTTTGCCGGTTGGGTTTCACGTAGTGAAAAACGTAAACAAGTGATATTTGCAATGCATCCTTCAACATAGCAAATGAACAGCTACAGGATATTGCGTACATTATTTGCACTGCAGCATTCAGCTGTAGTAAAGTTATTTAGGACAATACTTTCCTACCCCTCGTACCCTCGCTGTGCACGCATGCCGAGGGTTAAACACAACATACAAGAGGTGACAGTGTAGCAAGTGTCAGAGTGTCCCAGTACTCTTTCCCCACATCTCCTCTCTCATACAGACAGTAGAGTCTTAGCTTGTAGTAGGCCAGACTGGAGTAGCCCGCCGGTCCTGCCCATATCACAACCTCTCCCTTGTCCCAGCTGTACCCTCCGTCAGACGAGGTGAAGAGAGTCATATTCTGCCTCACCAGGGAGTGTGGCGCGGTCAGGTAGAGATGTGTGTCCAGGAACACACCCGTGTATGTCATGGAGACCAGGGAACTCTCACAGGGTGTCTGGGGAGCTAGACTGTTGGCCAGAGAAGTGTTGAACCACGTTTCTCCTCCGTCTCTGCTGTAGGAGACGTAGCGACCGAGCAGAGACCGGGAGGCCATCAGGAGTTGGGGAGAGTCGGAGTCGATAGCCATGGCTGCCACCTGGCACTCCCCACTCCCTCCCGCTCCTATGGAGGTGGAGCGGCTCCAAGACTTTCCTCCATCGTCAGAGAATATCACATAGGACCCTGGCACTGAGGCATACATACCTAACAAGAACAGTCACAGGATGAAAGGAACTCTTGTACTACGGTGGCCCACTAGTGCAATTGCGTTACGATTTTTTCGCGCTTTGTCACAGCTGCACGCCCACAGTGATTATCTATGCGCACGTGTGGGTGTTCGGCCCAACTGCCGTGAGGCTGCTGAGCTGAGACCTAGAGTGTATGTCATGGAGACCAGGGAACTCTCACAGGGTGTCTGGGGAGCTAGACTGTTGGCCAGAGAAGTGTTGAGCCACGTTTCTCCTCCATCTCTGCTGTAGGAGACGTAGCGACCGAGCAGAGACCGGGAGGCCATCAGCAGTTGCACACACGTGCAGGACTATACTGCATGCGTACGTGTTGTTTGCGCGTGCGCATAGATAATCACTGTGGGCGTGCAGCCGTGACAAAGCGCGAAAAAATCGAAATCGTAACGCATGAAGATAAAAACGCATGAACAACAAAACGGGTGGAGACCGAAAATCAAACTGCACGACCAACGAAAATCAAAGATCAAAACGCAAGAAAAACGAAGAATGAAAATTGAACTGCACGAGCAACGAAAATCGGAAATCGAAACGCAAGAAGAATGAAAACCGAAAAACAATCCACGTGAGAAACGACAAACGAAAATTGCACTAGTGGGCCACCGTACTCTTGTATATTTGGATACATACAGGGCAAATTGTTTTTTTGGTAATTATTGTCCTTGATAAGTTGTGCTGTTGCTTTGCCTTTACGACCTCGTTGCTTTATATCATGTTCAGCATAGCTGGTTGTTTGTTAACTGAGTGGTGGTCTTTATAATTAACGTCATATAGAGTTAGCATTTATCACTAGCATTTATCAGCTGGATACAGAGTATCAAAATGGCTTACAGACAACAAGTCGACCAGAGGGTAGCTGGATTCCTCCCGGAGGTCCAGAGCCAGTGAACCCCCAGCCAGGCTCTCTGGCAGTCTCTATGATGTTGCAGGGGTTGCTCCAGGTGACTCCCTCATCTCTGCTTTGGAGAGTGAAGACCTCGGTGTTGTCTCTGCAGTAGACAAGGGTGATGGTACCGCTGGTCCCGTCCAGGACTGGAGCTGGGTTACCTGGGGAATGAGCAATGTGGTGCACACGTAAATGGGAGAAATGATGAGTAGAAATGTTGAAATGGCCACAAGGGATATCAGTACGATGGTGAATTTCTACGTTTCACAGTCACTGCAGCATCTATTGTTACCGGTCTCATGGTGTGTAAAATGAATTCGGCGTGCGCAAGACAGACAGACAGTACGACCAATGCTACGATGAGGTTGTTTACCGATTGTGTGGCCGTCTTCCTTGTACACAACAGTGAGATTGGACCAGGTCTGTCCCGAGTCTGAGCTCCTCTTGAGAACTATATGGACGTCTCCGTGGTCGGCGCAGCTCCCAGACTGCTGCCCACGGCCCTCCGCGAAGGGCCAGCAGTGTCCCTCGGCCAGTGAACAGGAGAGCCGGGATCCGGAAACAGTAGTAGCCGGCCTCACCCGCCGAGAACACTAGCTGCGTCCCTCGCGATCGGATGGGAGCACCAGGAAGGAGCCAGTAGCGAGAGCAGGACCAGGACAATCATGCCGATGGGTCACACACGCGCAATATTTATTTACGACGAATGACGTAGCCCAGAGGGAAAACATAAATGCAATGGAAGGCCAAAATGTGAGAAGCTCTTTCTACGTTTCTATATGCAGGAAAAAACTTCCGAGCATCTGAAGATATTCATCAACCATTACCTACCTCCACTAAGCCAACAGATGGTCAACTGCAGTTCTACAGGCTAGGCCAGAGACACGAACGGCCGTGCACCTAACCACGCCATAACGCCTGTACATTTCAATCAAAATTTCACGGAGTACCCGTTTTTAAAAATTGTTTTTGTATTTGTGTGTAACTATTTTGACTTTCCGAGCATCTAAAATATAAGTTAAAAGCTGTTTCTTTTGAGTACTCAAAAAAATATACAGCCAAGGCCTACACGGATTAGGCCAGATGCAGGGGAAAATCGCCTATTTTGTAGAGATACTATACAGTACATACGGAGCGGGCTTAGAGAGCCGACGGAAACTGCCAGGAACGCACCACTGGCTAGTCTAGCTAGCCCTATAAGCTAGATGAGATTGTTCATCTGGTTTCTAAGCTAACTTTTAGCTAAAGATGTCCACTTCAAGTTGCCTGTGGTGGCCTACAGAACGTATCGATCGGAGGACGGTCCCGCCTCTATGAGTAACCGGCTAAGATTTTTACAGTAGACCGAGCAATTGCAGAAGAGAATCTAGATCTTCCTAAAGAAAGGTTTAAACGACCAAATGAGAGATTACCTGTGGTGTGGAGCCAAATAGATCTCAGATCACCAACACACAGTATATAAACCAGATCGATCCTAACTAGCTACTTCCGATCCACTACTTCTACGCTTATACGCTCATAGCGATCCCCCGATGGTAAAGAAAAGCTGAGATGCACGCTCACTGGGCTTAGGTGACCAAGAAACCAGCTCCCACGAGATTTGGGCGCGAAAATTACTTCTATTGCGCAGCTAGCTGCCCGCGCGAGAGAGATGGCGGAAACCCCCGTTGTAAGAATGGTTTCCGTGGCGGATGTGGTCAGCGCTAATGCTGACTTTGCGGCTTCTGCACTATACTCGCGTTGGAAGTAAACAACGATTTCTTGTTGGAGATCAGGCAGAAAGGGAAAGAGCCAATTGCAGCACTGAATGACAAGCAAAAAGTAATTCAGCTAGAGTCCAGCAGTGAACGTCTCCGGGCTGCTCTTGACCGGATCCTTGGGACTCTGCACAACAAGTTCTCGAAGTCGAAGGGAGGGTCTGCAAGGAAGAAGATCAGAGAGGGGAAGACGAGGATCACCCTACAGGAAGGTGATGTTGTGGATATTGCAGCAGTGCAGCAAAAATTAGTACAGGTAAGGGGAAAGTTTAATACCACTAATGCACAAGACAATACCGACCAAGGTGAAAGAGTAGACGGCACTGGAGGAGGAGGCCTTAGATTTCCTACTGGAGAATGAAGAGAAAGAGAAAAACCATCTACAGCAGGCTCTCCAGGTCACAAAGAACAGAGGAAGAGCTTATCATGAGGTTCAGTTCAAACAAAAGCACAAACACCAAGTAATACTGTAACTTACTGGTGTTCTCAAAAGGTTGCCGAGAGACAAAAACGGAGGAAGGTGCGTGACATCAAGACATTGATGTCGTCCACGGTTGAGACATGTGTGACGTCTCATGGGCTGACACCAATGACGCTGACAGCAAAAACCAGTGATGGAAAGCTGCTCAGTATCCCCTTCTCAGAGAGCTCGGCCACCATCACAGAACTGACTCAACCTGCACCAACAGGCAGCAGAGCCAAGGCACTGTTCCTCCTGGATCGCTTTGCGGTGTCGGATGAGTTCTATCACGAACTAGCTCAGGTAAGCACACTACAGAGTACAGTAAGACAAAAGTTACATGACTTTGGATACAGATATTTCCGGAAATGCCACGTCTCTACCAAATCAAGGGTCTGCGAAAGGATATGAACAGCGAGATAGAAATTTTCAGTCTCCCACAGTCTTATGTAGGGAGGTACATGAAAGTGAAGAACATAGTGGAAAAGACCCTTGGAGAGACGGTGAGAAAAACATAATTTTATTACCATTACACACACTCTTGTCACCTTTCAGCTGGAAAAACTTGGAGTACAGGCATCACCACCTACTGTCACTATCAAGTTTTCTGGAGATGGTGCGGTCATTGCATCATCTGCCACCATGGTATTTCTGACCTTCAGCTTCCCTGGCCTTTCAGAAAACGTCCTTTCTGCTGGATGGTTTTTTGTTTATATAGATTACAATGTATGCCATACAGAAAACCACACCTTTGCCTCGGTGAAAGGACCAGAGGAGTACGAGTTTCTCAAGGCGTGCTTCGAGCCAGTGTGGAGAGAGCTGCAAGAGCTAATAGAATATCCATTCCTCTGCATCAATGGCACTCAGATCCAGTTGGATATTGTATTTGGTTCAGACTACAAGGTCAGAAATCGGCACAAATCCCTATGTTAATGTAGAGAAAGCAATGTAAAGCTAAGAACTCTGGCATCTCTGCATCAGAACTACACTTTCTCCCGTCCCGACAAACACCTTGGCAGTAGACACCCACCTCTCCTTCAACTAGAGCCATCACATTACGTCCTTGACGAGCTCCACCTCCTGCTGCGGGTCTCAGATGTTCTAGTGAGGAACGTCATTCATCTGGCAGACCACTTGGACCAGCAGAGTGGACTCCGTGCAGGCAGGGCCAGACACTACATACCTTGCCTAGAGAAACTTGTCCAGTCCTGTGGAGTACCATTCAAGATCTCCCCTGTAAGATATTTAAAATCTCAGTCATACTACTAGACGCTCAACCTCATATACGTCCTCCCCGTCTGCCTCACTCTCTGGCAAAGCGGTATGGCCTATCTTCGGCCGTCTCAGCCACTGGCGGCGCTCGGCATCTAACCCGGCGTCGGCGGAGCTGCGGGCGTTAAGTGCCCGGTAGTAGCCTGGAGGTCGGTGGACCGATCGGGTGAAATAGGCTGCCATGACTTAGCTCTAGCTAGCTATAGCTTTCCCGATGCGTATCCATGACAACATCAGCTGTTGCAAAAAACGAGCCATTGTACAAGCTAGAACAAGCTAAGTTACAAGAAAACAAATCGTTTGTTTATCTTCTACAGGATGACCGGAAAACCGGCTTCATTGCTGGTATTGAGCCACCCACCCACTTTTTTTACAGAGTGCTCTGCATAGGGAGGAACGTGTTTTATAGCTAAAATCGCCTGTCTTTGAAGTTTGAACAATACACACCCAAACATAATGTAGCTATGTATAGCTACACCTACATAATTACGAACTAATCGTCATTGTTCTGTTCCGTCAGCAAACTTTCCCTGAGTTCGGCAGGTCGAAACACAGGTGGACCTGACACAATAGTTGTTGGGACGTTGGCAACGGGGTCATTGGGCAACGACAGCCTTCCCGAGGTGCGCAGTGCTCTGACTCTGCTGAAAAACTTTGCTAAAATCTCTCCATTCATGCAATGCCTCACAGCTTGTATATCCTTCACAGCTCTGACAATATGGTAGATGATTATTCCAACGAAAACAGTAAATGCAGCTCCCACAGATAAGTGGATGAGTAGGTCTTGGTCTCCCCCAGCCACCAGAATGTGATAGGAACCAACAGAAAGAGACCCGAGATTCAGCAGGTAAAACAGCTCCAGCACGTCTAGGGTCTTGTGACGATAGACAGTTCCTATCACCCACTGAATTGCCAATATCCCCAGGAGTGCCGTGATGATTGGCAGTAGGTTGACACTGGAGTTTCCAGACACATTGAAGGCAGTTACGAGAAAGAGGATGCAGCGGACGAGGAGAAGGACTCCAAACCAGTAGCGGTGTCTAAGCTGGAAAGGGGCATGGTAGGCATCGAGAAACGGACGAAGTCGCCTGCTGCTCATCCAGTAACACAGTCGGTTCCTGGACTTGGCTAGGATACACTGGCCAAACGTCAGATAGAGAGTATATGGTATGAACAGGAACACCAGCACGATTAGAGCCACAGGAAACAAGGCAATGTGCGCACCGCCGAGGAACCGTATGTTGGCGTCGTAGAGCCACACCGCCTCCCTGTTGTCGTCTGGGTAGTCAATGAAAGTGAAAGAGAAGATGGCTATTATGGTACGCAGCAGTTTGGTATAGGAGAGAAGTACAAGAGTGGACAGAACTGCAACAGGATTCCTTCCAAATATCTTGGATGCAAGGGTAGAGTAGTGACTCGATACAATGATTCCTCCAACCAACAGCCACACGTAGACTGGGAACACAAACTGTAGTCCTACCTTGGCAGCGGTGTCCATGCCATAGTAGAAGCATGTATTGATGCCCAGATCCAGGTTTAGCCAGGCGATAAAGAGTCTGGAGACGCTGAAACTGGTCCCATCATTAGGAAAGAATGTGGCAGAGTCGACAGCCACGATGTTGGCATAGAATATGAGACCGTTGATGGTACCGACAGCTACAGTCAGTTGCAGGTAGAGAATAAAGGCCACAAGCAGTACACCGGCGAGGGCTAGAGGTAGTAGGAGAGCCAGGTAGACGCTGGTGCACTTCTCACAGCGAGCAATACCGAGAGCGAGGCTGAGACCATTCCTACACTGTCCGCAGAGAGTTCCCGTGCGGTTGAAGGCACACTGATTGTCCGAGTTGTTGAGATTGATACGGATCTGCTCTCTCGTGCAGTAAATAAAGGGGCAGTTGGGGTGTGTCACGACTCCAGTGGTGTTTCCACCGAACCTGGCATCGGCACTGCGCTCAATAGTACCATCTCTCACATCACAAGAGTTGGTAAACTGCTGGATGGAGCGGTCACATATACAGGTGGCTCCCAAGAGCTGGAACCCAAGGTGGCAAGGGAGAAAGCTGAGTCTTATTGTCCGACTGGAACTGCCGATACCCCTACAAGGACCGTTGGCAAACACTGTCACCTCCACTCTGTCCCCGGAGGAAAACACAGAGTATTGGAGGTCGGTGCACGACACGCCAGACTCCTGGATACCCTCTCCACTCCCAAGATATATAGGAGTTTTGTCGGGCTGGAAACTGTGCCCTTACAATTGTAGGGACCGACCCGTTGGCCTGGCCCAGAGCCACCACCGAGACGGTGAAAGGCTGCCCTCTCCTCACAAACAGCGTGTCTGTTTGCGCCTGACTGCAGTTGGGTGTGCTGTTGTAGCAGAAACACAGCTCCAGAGGGTCTGACGCTATCGGTGCCGTGGGGTCTTCTCCGCTCTGCACAGTCTCCGAGGTGTCCAGAAAGACTTTGAGACCGGAACTGATGCCGGGAGGGGATTCATTTTTGAGGAGAGAGCAACTCTCCAGCATCCCACCATAGAGTGTAGTTCCAGCCACTGAGGCGGTGTTGTTTTCAAAGATCAGGTCGACCCAGTTGGAATCACTTCCGCTGGTGGCATTCACAAAGAAGAAGCAGTAGACGGGAGTGGCCTGGATGGGGAATAGAGGGTCGATGATAGGGAGGCAGGTGTTGTAGGTAATGATGTCTTCAACAAAAATGGCTGCCCCGACGTCGGCCATGTTGTGCTGGGCATACAACTGGAGCGGTGGATTAAGAACCAGTGTTGAGAGAGCTTGGAGGAACACAGCCCCACCTCTTGGGGAGGAGTTGTTGGTGAAACTAATGTTTCCGCCGAGTCCAATTGTGCTGTTGTACGAGTTTATTGCACCGCCAAAGACCTCGGCGTCATTGTGTTGAAAGTCTATTAGTCCCTGCAGAGAGATGTTGGAGCGGATGAACCTGAAACCTCCCCCTCTGACCCCCATGTTGCTCCCAATGAGAATACTTCCGTTGAGAATCCCGTTAGACCGAATTTCCAGGAGCCCACTCACAATCGAGCTGTTGACCAGGGTGAAATTCCCACTTATGTCGATCCTGCTCAGGTAGAAAGTGGCTATGGACTGGACCGTAGCTGTGTTCTTTTGAATCAGCGTACTGCCGGAGAAAGTGATGCTGCAAGTGTCCACGTACAGAGCTCCTCCCAACGTACCAGTGTTGTTGGTGAAAATCATGTCACCGGTAAAGGTGACGGTGCTACTAAAGAGGTCCATTGCACCAGTGGAGCCCACACTGTTGTGAATCTCAAAAGTCCCTTCAAACGACACAGTGCTGTTGTCAAACTTTACACTGCCTCCACGAATGAAAGCACCTTCACTCTCCATACCAGTGTTATTACTAAAATACATAAATCCCTGTCCCACGTAGAGGATCCTATTGGCAAACATTGCTCCACCCAGAAAGGCAGAGTTCCCGTCCAGCCGTAAGTTGCCAGATGTGCTGAGAGCTGAAAATCGGATGCAGATTGCACCTCCAATGGCTGCATGGTTATCGGTGAAAGTGTGGTCCCCAGTGAAAATGACAATGCTGTATTCGGCATAGAGGGCTCCACCCAAGTACGATGAAGTGACATTGTGAATGTTTAGCTTGAGTTCCAGCAGAACGTTACCAGTCCACACTGACCTCCCAGTCACAGTCAGTCGACTAGTTTCCAGGGTCTCTCCCAGCACACAAACTGCACCACCACAGCAGTTCTCCGTAGTTTCGTCGGTAAACGTAACTGTGTTATTGACCACACTAGTAGCACCACTCAGACACCTTTCGTCCCACTCCAAGTAATAAGCCGGGAAACCCATTGGCGACGAGTCGAAACTGATCACACTGTCTTGGGCGTTGATGGCACTACACCTGCGTCGAGCTACATTGTCGGTGAAGCAGTTGCTCCCAACGAAGTCTGCCTGGGTCGTCTGCATCCACATGGCACTCCCGCTGTCCAGTGACGTGTTGTTTGTGAAACTGGAGTCCCTGATACGTAGAGTGCTGTACCCAAATGAATATCGCAGATGTGTACCCATTGTCTTTGAATGCACAGGAGTTCACAGAGAAGAGAGACACGTATCCCACATAGATCAGTGCAGTGATACCGACACTTGCGTCGTGTCCGCAACCGGTAATGACCAGGTATATAGGAAAGGGTGACATTTGCCGTGTTGGTGAAATCCAGTCCGACAATTGGACCTGACCTTGAGAAGCAGGTGATGACACTCCTCAGGGCTGGGAGTCCAGTAGAATCACCAATCATTGTGAAGGATGCTACATTAGTCACCACGATTCCTCGATCCACGAGAGTGTGGATGCCGGCAAGGAGAACGAGTGTGGTGTTCTGGAGGTTCATGGCCGACTGGTTCTGGCTGCGGTAGGTGACATAGCCCGAGAGTGTGAAGCAGGGCTGTGCCGGGCACGGAGTGGTGGCAGTGATGTAGTACTGGATTGAGTCTCCAGTGCTAGACTCTGCAAGGACACCCAGAATGAAGACAACGGCAGTCAGGGAGCTTCCTGTGAACCACATCACAATCAACAAAGCAAGACTGAGAGTCAAACGAGAAAAGGGTCCTGCTGAACAGTGCTTTTATCTTGGGCTCTACAGATCAGTTTTAACTGGAGCAAGCATGGAGCACTTACATCTGTGCCACCGCCTAGAAACGACCTAAATACGGAATACGTACCATAGTACTCACTACCACGAGCTCCACGAACTGCATAATTACTTTCAAGATTTTCACCCACTATCTGAACTAGCCATTCTCATGAAGTGGCGGTTTATTTACAACGACCGATGTGGGTGGGTGGTGCTGTTGTTACACGTGAAGTTAGACACAAACATCCAATGTTTTTTTTCAACGTCAAAGAACCATTAGACTAGCGTGTTGAGGGTTTGTGCACTTAAATTGAAAATTAAAAAGCTATGGTACACTGCTTAATCTTTACTGAGTGACACTGCATGGTGATAAAAACTGCGGGAAACCAAAGGTTATAAAGTATCCTTCAATGTCCGTCGCTTTCTTGGCTGTCTTCCCCACACCTGATCGTAGCCGGCAGCCAGCTCTGACTGTCTCTCCTTGTCCTCTGACACCGGCTCATCCGATCCATTCTGTGACACACACACACACCAGCAAATAATAGAGATATGTTGATGTTCAATCATGAAAAATAAAGATCCCTGTCAAGATATACACTGTTTTTACCAGTAACGAATCTAGAAGTAAGGACATTGCATCTGCCAGATGGTCTTCTCTGCCCGTGCCACCCTCCACCCCTCCCTCGGTCTCCATCTCCTCCTGGACCTGGTCCTCTGGCAATGTGATGATCTTCACTGTCACATCTCCACATACATTAAAAGACAAAGATGACTACTATATTTAGTAAGAGCAAGATCAAAGGAATTCCAGCCAGTCTAAACAAAGTAGATGAATAGTGAGCACTTCCTGGTTACTTAAAACAAGGAAGCCATACAATTTCCCCATAGCAGAACAGAATAGCATTACTCATTTACGTACAGTATATTACCATTGGTGTCAAACTGCTTGGCCAAAGCCTCCTGTAGCTGTTGCTCCACCTCTCTCACTGCCTCTGGGTCTAGCTCAAGCTCCTCCTCATCTTTTTCTTCCTCGCTGGCTGCCAAAATCTCACTGCTGATACTCCTTCCAACAGTTCTACCATCATCGCTAGTAGAGCCAGCCTCGCTTACTGTTCGCGTTTCCCTTATATTACTCTCTAGAGGCGGAGGACCCTTTGCTGATGCGTCGTCTTTATTGGTTAGTTTAGAGCTAACACGCGACGGTTCTTCCCCGTTAGGGACATCCCCTGGCTCTCCAGTTTCATCAGGTGCTGCCTCGTCATTGTCTGTATTAGATGGGCCCCTTTTTCTGTTATTACCATCCAAGGACTCTATATACTGAGCAGTCACAGCCAGGTTGCTCAACAGGGACTCCAACGCAGCACTGTCTTTCCCTGTGCTTTTCACATCTTCCGCCATCCTCTTCATTTTCTCCGACACTCTCCCGCCTCCATCTTTAGTCCCCTCCTGTTCATCCCCTTGTACTCTGTCCTCTGAACTCTGTCCTTTGGACCTACTTCTACCCGCGAGACTAGACCACCTCTCAGTAATACTGCTGCTCTGCAAGCTAGTCCCAGCGACTTCCTTATCGTCATCGTCAATTTCATCCAGTTCCCTCTCTCCCTCTCTACCCCCCAGCCCGAAGCTCCCAGTGTCATAGGCAATCTCGGCCAGTTGCGTAATGGATGACATCACTAGTTGTCTGAGGAGGAGATGGTCATTGCTCAACAGAGATTCCTTTTCTCTTCTGCCGGCACCAGAGGTGTCCTTGCTCAGCACTTTCAGTTTCTCTTTCTGCTGTCGTATCAACTCTACATGCGGTCATTCAGACACACACAAAACATGGTTTGTCACAGTGGAGTAAACTTCCCCTCACACTGATGTGTACACTCACTGACACTTGGACACTAGTGTAAAATACAACAATTGCTCCCAGTACAAATACACAGAGGGAACATTTCACAACTTTGCTACTAAAATGATAGAGGCCGCCCTCTATTACCTCAACGGCCAGCGCACACTTGATAACAGAGTTCTTTTCAAAAGTGATCTCAATTCCGAGTCATAGTATCACATCAGTCTGTTTACTCAGCTCAAACTAGACTTTAGATTTGTCTTATACGGTGCGGTGCAGATTAAGTATACGGTATGTAACAGGAACAACAAAACAGGTTCGCTACACACCTGATATTGCATGTAAAATCCTGTTCAACAACCCTAACCCATTTATTCACACCATCCTTGCCCCAGTTCTGGTGTCCTAGTCCTATAGTTACGGTGTGCCCCCCCCCACACCTGCGTCCCCCACACCTGCGTCTCCCCACACATACCTCACTGGGTATATACACTCACAGCTCCCACACCCATGTTTTCAGTTGGAAAGCTGTGCCTCTGCATGTTTAAGGTTGGAATGTACACAAGTGCAATGGAGCTTTACCCCCCTTCAACTTTAGTCACTCATGTATATATATATATGTACCAACACACGGTGTGCACCAACTCTACCTGCTAATGGGCTATATCATAGGGCTAACCTTGTTTGAGGAGGAAGTCTTCGTAGTCCAGCTGAGACACGACGGGCGTGCAGGAAAGGGTGTGTCTGGGTGTGGAGCTAGAGAGAGGGAGGAGCATGGGGTGCTGGCACAGGAGAGGAGTCTGGACTCTGAGGGTGTAGTCGCAGGTCGTGTCTTCCTTTACCTCCACCAGAGTGTCCACTCCCTCCACCGTGCAGAATATCTATACAAAACAGTGGAGGAGGGTAAAGCCACAGACACATATCAGAGCTTCCATAATTCCATAACAGCTCATATATGGGTAATAATATGTATATACTAATTCATCATTTTTACGTTTTTTTTTTAAGGAGATACCCATGTCGTCCAAAGGGTTAAAATTGTACATTTGGTGGGCGAGTGCACAAATATGCCCAGAAGAAATGAAATGTTTGCAGCTGCCAAATGTTCTGGAATGTTCTGGAAAGTCATAAATATTTCTTGTGGTGTTCTGGCGAAGCCAACAATACCGAGAATTTTTGCTCAACTTCACATTTCAGCTGTTACCCAAACCTCCCCCGCTCTAGCCAAATTCAACCATCAAACACAGTCAAATAAACCCGTCGGCCTTCTCTGTGTATTGCGCAAGTCCTGAAATTCACTCCTAGAGAGTTGGCAACTATGAATTTCTACGTGACAATGATTGTGAATATAGTGTAGAGTGTGTGCATGTGGCAGAGGTAACGGACAAGAAATTACTAAGTTTGTTAGTGTGAGTGAGCCAACCGTTGTGACAACATGCAGATATTTCTACTAGTACAACATCTGCAGTGCCAACACTTGGTTACAATGCCATTATAGCAATGTGCAGAAGAGATAATACTTATATTACAGAGATACACATGATGAGAGTAGCACAGCCAAACAACCTGACAAACCAATGTCGGGTCAGTTTGGCCTTGCTCCTAATAGCTGTGACACTAACTTTTCCCGTGTGATAATACCTGCATATTCCATTAATCAATGCCAACTACAGCTACACACTAATCACTCCAAAAGAAGAGTTGGCTGACTCGTACCTGCCAATAATTCATCGAGTAATAGTATCTTTACCCATAGATAATAGCACACAGGTCTGTGTCCCATTAGGAAACAGCTACGCACAGAGTTAGTATTGTAGCACTCCTTGTCTAGTGCAATCACGGGTAACGGCTCCCGCGTTGCACAGTGACAGTGCAGTCCGACAGAGTTTGGGCTCATGAGAATAGGACTCTGATATCTTACAATAGTGGTCATGATAATTATTTATAGCTACAAGCTACTGACATTATGCAGCAGCCATGTTTCCCAGTGTACACAGCGAAACATATCTATAGTGACCACTCTATAATAAGACTACCACTCTATGTATATACAAGGCCCCTGGTCTAGTGTCCCAGCAATGCTTGTGCACTGTACCTTGACCTCTGTACAGAGACCATCTCCCTAATAGGAGCCGGCCGGATGTGGTCACTATACGTAGATTTTCTGCATCAAACTACACCTTACATTACTACAGGAAATGGCTAGCATTCTCTGTGGTGGAAAAGTATAGGCAAGCCCTGTGTATACCCTGCACTCAATCGACCTTGCTTCTGTGGTGGAGCAGCACAGCCAACCTTAGGCTACTAGTTGACTGAATACTGTCCCATACATACTCAATGGTGGGAGAGGCCCACCTCAACTTTGGCAGAGCGTGGTTGACCGGTGATGTCACACTCCGTCCCATTGACAAAGTGGACTGTGTGATAGGCGTGGGTCTGGCCCAGAACACTGCTCCCTTTTAATAACCCCAGCAGCTCCTGTGTACAAAGACACATGCATAATACACCATAGTATTATTGGGGTAGGGCAGTTTAAAAAATAATACTCAAATCTGACTGGTCAACTAGGAGAAGCTAGTCACTTAATGAGGAACCCTATTCACCCCCCAGGGCCTATGCACATTGTTTTGTTTAAAAGCGTTTTGGTGTGTGCCGCACTCTAAAAAGATAGACAGTGAGTCTCAGAAGCCACGCATTTTAGGAACACCACAGCCCCGGGACCTCGGCCTCCTAGTTTCCTATGAACCATCGTAGGGTGTTCTAGCTATAAAAAAATCACGGAGTGGTGCTATCCGTCAACTAGGGGGGTCAGGGGGCATGCTCCTCCAGGAAGACTCTCAGAGATTGAATCTGGGTGAATTTGAGGCAAATGTAAAACACAATACATTAAAGCTAACTAACTAAACAAAGCTACTTCCTTCTTGCTTCCTTGCTATTATACTTCCTCACAGCTGGCACCAGCTTGCAGTGGTTCAGTTATAGTACTTACGAATATAATTATTCAAGCGTATGCCAACTGCACATACAGCGGTGGGCTGTTGCAATAGAGCGGCAGAGTGTAACTATAGCTCCGTGCTGCACCAAACCCCTTGGTCGTATAATAATTACTTATGAGCATATTCTGTAAAATCCCTAATCAAAGCAAAGTAGTGTTAGGAACAGCCAATGGCCAGATATCGTATTACGTACCTTCACTCTATTGACGTGCTCCTGATCCCATTGTGTCTCTTTCTCGTAGAAGCCAAGGTACTTGGTTTCACCAATTAGCTTCCCCGCTGCACGCATGGTAAATGTACGTATTATAGGAAGTTATGTTTTAACTAATATTGTATGATGACTGAAAGTAAGATCAAAGGAATTCCAGCTAGTCCAAACAACGTAGATGCGTAGTGAGCGCTTCCTGCTGAGTTTACGGGTAGTTATACCATAAAAAGGCCATACGATTTCCCCATACTTTAGCTGTATGTCAACTCATTTGCATAAACCACAATGGGTATATGGTAGTTATACGATAATAGGAAATTGGCAGCGTGTAATGCAATTAGGGGGCTTTTACACTCTTTGTGTGCTGCTGTTTCTTTACCAGAAGGGAGTGTTTTTCAGGCCAGAAACTGCTCTAGTATATACGCGGTCTGAAAACTAGCTAAAAACTGCTTCCCGACGCGTAGGCTCCCGTAGACTGGAACAGTATGTGACTTTCAGCTTTCTTGCTACTGCAACAGGCTGCATTCGAGAGTGCTGGGTATAGCGGGAGAGAAGAGCGGCAGCTACAAAACTCGTGTGGAGTCCAGCAGCGAAAAAGTATAGCTTTGACGTATATACCTGTAACGTTGAACTCTCGAAAAAATGACCATCGCTTCTGCACAACCGCCCAGCTTGACCAAACTAAAGCGCTTATTGCAGCTGTCTCTCCGCTCCCGATCGATCGCTAGCTCTCTCCGTACACTCGAGGGTGTGCGTTAAAAAGAGGGCGTTTTTAAAGCTTTTGCGCAATCTCATTGGTCAGAGCCTTACCGCCAGATGTCATCATACAAACACGTTATACGATGGCTTTGCTTGTGGTTTACTGGTTGTATATACACTCGTGGTTTCAGTTTTGATAGACCACTCGGGCTACGCCCTCGTGCCCTATCAAAACTGGCCACTCGTGTAAAACCAGTAAACCACGCGCCGCCATCGTATAACCTATACATAGTCGCAGGAAAATAATGCTGTGCCATATACAGTACCAGTTGATTGGTAGTACACTGAATGACTTGATGAATTTTCATCACAGAGAGAAATTTTTACACCTGAGATCCAGCCACCGTACTAATCCAACACTTTCTCTCTTTTCTTTATTCATGTGAAAGTATGCGCTCACTTCACACACTGAATTACTACATACCTTCCATATGATACTGGCGAACAAACATGTTGTGGCAATATTCGTAAGTCCACCATCCGACAGTCTGCAATACAAACAAAACGCAGAAACCCAAAAAAAACGAAGAACACAAATATACAACAACATCGCAAGAAAAAAACAATTAGATAGAATGGCTTTCTATTTTTCTACCGGCTGTTGTTTTTATCCTGTAGCTGTCGTTTTTTGTACATGATTTCTATCTATTTATTTTATAACTATGTGTAAGGGAGGTTGGGACACTGGGTGTGTAGGGAGAGTTGGGCCCATAAAAGACTCTTTAACCTACCGCCCCGGTTCTCAAGGCTGGGCACCCAGGGTCCTGCCTCTTTCTTTCTGTTTATATGTTATTGTCTGTGTTTTTGTACGCTTGGGTATGTTATTGTCTGTGTTTTGTGTGCTTGGGTGGGGGAGGTTCTTTCTTTTCCTCTGAGCTAGTATGCTATAAACATGTTTTTTCATTAGATAGAATAACATGACATCCCACACGCTCAAGATTTCTAGTGTCTTACTCCTACTCATTGATCAGTATCATCAACATTATACGCATTAACTGTGAACAGCAGGAAACTAAGTTTTCAGATAGTTTGAGAGAAACAAGTGTGTGAAGTTATCACGTTAAATTTTTTTGGGCCAAGAATCTGTTTGTTCCATTTTAGACTAGAAACTTACACTGAAAACGGGTAATTCACGAAATATTTCTTAAATGTACAGTATGCTACTATGTACAGTGGAACCTCGCTATTCCAGCCACACTTGGGAGCTGAAAAAGTGGCCGGATTAGTACGGTGGCTGGATCTCAGGGTAAGGTTATTATGTGAAACATACACAGGTTGATCAATACATTCCAAAGCAATTGGGTGCTTTTGGCTACATTTCAGAGGCTTTGATTAGCAAGGTTCCACCGTACACTGACCTTGACGAGACAGCTGTTCTGTCCGAGGTGCTCCAGGAGAGCAGTTACATTGGGGAGGGACTCGAGTGACGGCTCCTCCTCCTCCTCCTCTGTCTGGCTCAGAGGTGGTGGAGGAGGGAGAGTGCAGCTGTAGAGCTGGCCATGCTTTGACAGCACTGGCATCTGCAGACTCTCATCCTACAGTGGGCACTCATAATAATTTACTCTATATTATACTTATCCTCATAGTCTCCCACAGGTATACCTCTTTGTATGGCACTGTTCAATGGTTAGGAGGGCAGTTTAGGGGACAGGGGGTGTGCTCACCCCCATTTTTGAACACCCCCCATGGGGAGTTGAAGTGAACCTTTTAATGCACACAAACACAGGGTTTTCCCTCCTCTTTTTCATTAATACACTACTTGTCCCCCCTCTCCAAATGAATCGGTTTCTGGATGAAGACCCTGGACGGCACTTTGACCAAACCTTCAAATATCAACACACACGGGGTTATGGGTCATCCTTAAAGATGTCCGGACTATCTACTAGTACGTAAAACTGGTAAAACAACCTCTTCTGCCTGGAGTTGTAGTTCGGAGACCGGGGCAGTGGCTATCTCGACCTGGTAGGACGCGCTCTCTAGCTCCAGGAAGTCAAAAGTGCCGAACTGAGTGCTGGGTACTCCGCCAAACTGATTGGTCTCAACTACGAACAACGCTAGGAGTGACAGCAACACCCCGGCTCCCTGTGTCATCCTTGGATAGAGCTAGCTAGGGGCGAGTTTTTGCAGGGTGCTGATTCAGCATGACAGGTGCGCATGCGTACTAAGGAAGCCGAGCTGTAGTAGTACGTAAGCTAGACCTTCGAGCAAGTGACGACACGGTACGTTCGCGGTATAGCCTAGGCACGAGCAGTTGAACATGACCAAGGCTGCCTGGACAAGAGCTCCGGCCCTTTTCTGTTTGTTTATGGTCGTGGGAATAGCGGAGTATTTTGTGGTGATCAGATTGCACGGTTATCTTGGGATTGAGGCGGCGCCGGAATCGACCGCCGCGAGGTCTTTCGCTGCAGTGTCCGGCGGAGAGCAGGGGAAAGAGACGCCGGAACAGGTCGGCGGTGGCAGGACGGGCGTGAAGCGGGAGACAGATGTTAGAGACAAAGAAAAAGTTGACGGTGAGCTCGAGGCAAAACACTAGCGACGAAAGTAGGGTGTTATTGAGAACGGCCGACGCACGCGCAAATCAGCAGTCACCGCATTGTAAAACCTAAAAGCACTAAAGTGCAAACCGCCCTCGGCACACTAGGCGGCCGACGTATCTAGTAGGCGAATTTGGCGAGCGGAAGCGAGCTTACAAATGGGGTCCCCGCAGTGTGGGTTCCAGTACTTGGTCTCTGTCCGTCTGTCTGTCTGTCTGTCCGTCCGTCCACGTTTTCTGCCACCACGCGCGACAAACAGGTAAAAAAGCGACACCAACGGGTTCAGCGCTACACCCGCTTCATTTTTAATCATGAATAATGACCATGGGGTTACATGAAGGGCTTTCAAAAAAATAAGGGCGTGTGGTCATTGATCTTTGAATGATAACAACCACACCTTCCTTTTTGACCTGTTTATTTGCTGACTGGTTGCAACTCTCCTTGTAGAACAATGCCTTCCTCAGCTGCTTATATATATACCTTGAAGCTAACTTTTAAGCCTGACATTGAAAATGGCACACAAAAAACATTAGTGAAAAACCGTAGGTAAAACCTTTATAATTTGCCCAACATCTTGGACCTCCTAATTTTAGGTTTGCATGAAATCAGTGAGTGGGGTTGGGGGTGGAGAGGGTCTTATCAACTATCCAACCTGACTTTAAGCTACAGCGGGGCTTTCGCTGGCGGCAGCAGTTCAGTAGGGGTGCTCAAAGTCAGTATGGAAACTCTGATCATAGGTTACAGCGATTACTTTTAAGTAACAGACACACAGACAACAGACACGCAGACAAGTACTGTAACCCTCGCTGCGCATGGCGCCGAGGGTTAAAAATAAGGGCGTGTGGTCATTAACCCTCGGCGCGCATGCGCAGCGAGGGTTACAGTGCTTGGGTGGGTCTTTGGGTCTGTGTGTCTGTCTGTGTGTCTGTTACTCTCAATCTCACTTCTCGGGTGTTTGTTGGTCTCACAAAGGATACGACCTACTTAACGGGCAAGGAAGGTCAGAAATTTCGAACGGTTTTCTCTGAAACTGCTCTGTTGCAAAGTTAGAGCGTGAAAAAGCCAATATGCAAATACACAACGGACGGGATGGCTTACCACAGTCGATCGATCCGCGTGCTCTGCGTACTTCGGAGGCACCAGAAGATGCAACGCAGGGCGTGTATCGCCTCTCCCATGCTATCTAGTAGTGTAGTTAGCCCGCGTCAGACTCTGCGCGAGCTGGCAAGAGACCACGAGTAACAGCTAAAACTAAACCCAGCCCATCAATTAGTGGTACGGCGCATGCGTTTACTTACGCGTGCGCGTCACAGTGCGCCGAGGGTTTGCACTTCAGTGCTTTTCATTGATCTTTGAATGATAACAACCACACCTTCCTTTTTGACCTGTTTATTTGGCAACTCTCCTTGTAGAACAATGCCTTCCTCAGCTGCTTATAATATATATACCTTGAAGCTAACTTTTAAGCCTCATGGAGTCAGTCCCAATGGCAAGCAAAACAGAGACCAAAACTACAACTATAGGCTTTCAGACAAAAACTGAACCTCCCTTACAGATGACCGAGTTCTCAGAGATTTCTTGGACGACAACTGCAAGCGATGCACTTTCAAGGAGAGAATGGGCAGACTCTACGACATATACAGTGCACACGGGATGTACAGTCTAAAGGACACCAAGGAGCACTATCATGGAGAGCCTGAGAACGAACATGACTTTGTGAGTGTGGTCTCAGAGCCACCGGTAGAACCAGAGGTACTGGTAGAGAAAATGAATGTTTCAGAGAAAACCAAGACACCGCCTGGGAAGGCTGGACTGAACATATTGCTCAGTCTCAGGTAATTATGTGTTCGTGGCCGGTCTGGGTTATACCAATGACTGCTTGTTTTACCTGTTTTAACCAGTTTTTGTGTGCAAAATGGTGCATAGATAGATTAATACACTTTGTGATTAACAGCTCTGCCACACAGACTGTCCCCCTGACTATACAACAACAAACTTCAGAGGCTTGAAATGCACTCCAAGTTCGTAACTTTGTTGTAAAACGTGGCTTCACAGAGTGGCTAGACGAGCATGATAGATACCACGCGTGTCCTGATTTCATGTGGCGTATGATACTGCATTTTTGGTCAATGTTACTAGACAGGAGGACTGATGCTGTGGCCACACACGTAGTAAACCATGAATCCCACATCTACCGTTTACGTGTCTTGGCACAGGACTACAGTGACTAACCACAGAAAGAGGCTGCCTCTACTGTTTGACACGTGGCTCACCAAGGTCAACACCAGTCAGGTGTTCCTGGTCACCGATGGGGAAGACCCTGTCCTTAGACTCGTGACTAGAATCAAAGGTAACTAACTATGGAGGATTTAATGATAGGGATAGCAAATACAAACTGTAAGGGACTGGGGTCTCCATAGTCTAATCATTGTGGGCTTCTGCACACACCGTAATGTTCTAAATACACGCGAAACACGTGCGAAAAACTGCTTGCTTCGCTCACCCAAAATGCGTTGCATTTGTTCTAGTATTGACACACACAAGTATTTTCTTCTCTCCATTTCTAGGTATGCACTATTTCAATGCCAAGTGTGGCAACAGCTACCTCAGGTAACATACACTATAGAGTATTCCACACAGTAAGAGGACACATTTGGCCTCTACAAATAATTACTAATTTGTGTGCGAACACGATGAAATAAGACATGCAGTCGAACTTCCCATACCCAACACTCTGACATTATGTTGAATGCTTGCATGCCTGGCAGAATACCGCGTTTTATACTTGGAAAGCCTCCATTTATAACTTACTCTGAGAGGCAGACACATAATAACTAGTATAGGCCCTCGCTCCACTTGCCCGAGGAATTTTAGTATAATAGGACATGCATGTTTCTGTAGGTTATTGGGTTTCATTATATTAACACAGAGAAGAGTTGTGCTGCAAGGCTGGAATGGAGTTTGCTCTAATGTTTCAAGAACGGAATAAAGCTTTTGAGTGAGTTACATTATTGTCTCCATGTAAAAGGATCAGACACCGCAAAGGTGTGTTTGCTTTTATGGAAGATCATTCCCCCTTGCCTACTTATATATCTTAAGTGAGGTATGAAACAAGTACAAAAACAAACAATTCAACAACACCAGGGAATCTTTTTCAAAGAAATATGAATTGCCCAGGATGGCACTCGATCTCACAACAGTCAGTTTTGTCCATCCACTAAGTTTCCAGGGTAACCCAGCAGGCAGTGTTCAATAGGCAAACATCAAAAATACTCTGTGTGGATCACACGGAATAATAATTTGGCATAGTTATAGGAGCGGGCGGGATAATATAACCACTAAAGATACCCGAACTCCATGCAAAGTATCACAGGTGCAAGGTTGAAAAGCAATGACAGCTATGGCAACACTTTCATGGACATGATTGGAGCAGCAGACATATACAGGCACAAAAACACAATGACGTTGGTATAGGTATCACAATGTGCTGCCCCCTTTATTGAATATTACTCGGCGGGCTCTCAGTTCTCCGTGTGCTATGATTTAAATGTCCTCCCACTTTGCGACTCTAACTCTAACTTGTGACAATAATATCGTTGATGACTGTTTTGTTTCAGCTGGCTGTGCCACGTGGATGACGACATATATGTCAATATGAGTAACCTGGTGCCACTGTTGTCCCGTTTTGACCCCAAGACTGAGCCCATATATATCGGAAGGTTGGGTTGTGTGTATGACAGTATAGTAATAGTGTGTACGAGCACATCTGGCAGTTTCTTATCATTCCCAAACCGTTTTGTTTCTGGGAAGAAAGACGATGGGGTCCAATATAACTTTGACCATTTATGGGCGTTGTGGGTTTATTTACGTATGCTTGCAGCTGATTTTTGTTCCATCTGTAGCCAAGGGCTAGCTAGCGTGGCAGATATCACTGTTTCTTGGCAAAATAAAGGACTGTTTTGTTGTCTCCATGCTCAGGTCGGGGTCCGCGTGGCGTTCTCCAAGGAGAGTCAAGAAGAAGGCGGGGCTGAGTCTACCAGGGGATGACGTACCACTTTGCAGTGGGTGGCATGTACTGTCTCAGTAGAGCCATGCTACACAAGACCATGCAGTGGATCGTGTAAGCCGTTTTAATCATCCTTGTTTGCGAGTGAGCCTACGAACCTTAGTCTGAAGTTTCATACCTAAAGTGCAAACCCTCAGTGCAAGGAACGCGTGTGTATGTTGTTAGCGTTGATGTACGAATGAATATGGGCCGGGCCATGCTAACCCGCTGAGTGGAGTAAGTTTCTTACACAAACTACGTAGCTGCATTGGTGTGTAGCAATATTAAAGCAACACTGGACTGGATAAGTAGCTACACATCCCCCGTGTAACTCTATTCCCCCAGGCTAAACTAGTAAGCCAGTGTTATTTCGCTTGTTTTCACGCCACATCTCTTGAAAGAAGCCATTTCAGGACATCAAGTACTTTATTTTTCACATACTCATACGTAGCCCTGAAGCTGTTGGCATACCTCATAGGCCTCCCTGTAGCCAGAATAGCAGTGGACAAACAGACACTCATGTAACCCTCACTATGCATGTGCGCCGAGGGTTTTATAAGTTTAAAAAATCCACCCGTTGCTTACTTGCATTAGTATAATACTATGCCCATTTCCCCCCTCAGAGGTGGAGAGGCCTTCTCAAAGTCGTGCTCACTCACCAGAGAACCTGAGGATGTCACTGTCGGCTTCATTGTCGGTCAGTAGGTCTACATACCACTACCATATCTTCTTAGATCACTCAGTGACCTTGTGGGAGACTATTACTAGAGGAATGCATTGGCGAGTGAGCGCAAGCAGTTCAATATTTCACGCTTGGTGGCTGTCGTGATTTAGAATTGCGTAGAACATGACATTATGTGTGGCATCGCCGGATAGAAAGAAATGGAATATCGGCCAGTTGACACGACTAGGTATGCTCGCTTCGCTTGCCAAAAAGGGAGGGGGCCTGCTAGCTGCGTTTGTTAAATCTCTATGTGCCTTCTTAAACAGCCATGCACAACTACAGTCTGAGTAGGACAGAGAGAATCAACACACACGGTCTTCCCCTGGAGAGTACCGTGGAGTCTCCATCTCTCAGTCATCAGGTAATACACATAGCTACCTTTTGCATTTCCTCTATTCAACGACACACACATTAAAACTTAGAGAAAGCAATCTTTGTTTGCACGAGGATCAATAGAGTAAGCGCATCTTCACCTGGTTACCTCAGGTGTGTGCAAAATATGGCACGGTTTTCAAACACCAACACAGTGCCATATATGTTCATTTTGGACCACTTGGTGAGCTCACTTCGGTCGTTAATTACAGCATTACAGGAGTCACCTATTATAGAGAACTAATTACAATTATTGCTCAAACGTACTGGTGGCACTCAGTCGTTACTAAGTACAACATTAAAGGAGTCACCCATCATAGAGGACTAATTGCTCCAGGTTGCAATCTCATATGGCTATGGTGCAGCGAAGTGGAGAAAACCCACCTACAATGCTGTGAATGTCCCTCACCCTTTATACACCTTGGAAGAAGATGAATCTCAGTGAGTGTATATATGTATTTTTGCATTGTGAGTCTAGATGGGAAACTAAGTGCTCGGGTTGTGTACCTGTCCAGATGCTTTTTTGTAACCTTGTGTGCTGTGTTGGATGGTTTGTGAGTAACTTTGCCCGGCACACATTAATCTCCATTCTCACACGGCCTATGGGCAGGTTATACACTCATCAGTACATGCAGTCCTACCTTTGCATAAGTAAATGTGATAATCACACATTCCCAGGCGTAACTAATTGAATGCCTGAAGTGTGGCTAGTTGACCTCCGACACATGTGTACGTACACACATGTAGGAATACAGATTTAACCCTGCATTTTATCAGCACTGACACTCAAAGCTACATAGTGGCATGAACTGCATGCATAATAAAAACACTCTAGCTATTATCATAAGTAGAGGCCTTGACATAGTATTTGGACCTTAAGGTTCATTATCTCTTACCAGGTTTCGTTCCTTACACTGTCTTCTCTACCCTGCCACCTCGTGGTGTGGGTACCGGAGACGACTACTGCAGTCACTGAAGATTAGTGTCTAATGATATTATCTATTGTCTAGCATTTTATCCTCATTCCGTACATTATTAAGCTTAGCTCAACATTATTTTTTAACACACTACAGTTATGTCATACGTTAGCAAGGAACATGCGTATGGAGGATGCATAAGATGTAGTGACGGTCTGTGCATGACTCCTGTACTATTT